TGTGTCGATCGAGACATGAGCTAATCAGACCTATTTGGTTTTTTGAACCAGGCTGTAAACATGTTAATCTCTGCTGTAAAAAGACACTTTTTTGAATGGGTGTCTATGTGACTTCCTGTGCTTCTGCAGCCAGCCTCTAGTGGACACTGGAGGAACTGCAGGATTTTACACTTCATCATCGGCTTCATATTTCAACACCGGAGGTAGCTGCTTGGACACTATTACAGCTAATGTTTTGCATCTTACATTTGAAACAAAAGTATCTAGCATTATTTAGGCTATAAAACTGAGGCAGGATCCTTATTTTCACTTCGGCAACTTTATATTTTCACTATATTTGAATATGGATTTTTCAGAGAAATAAATTGTTTGATGTTAAATGTCTTTCTTGACGTAGACTAGGCTACTAATCTTAAGCTACTGATTACTGTGAATTCGCTCTGTGGGAGGAGCCCTACAGTACCCTTCAGTACATTTGGTGAGGTTTGGTACGGTAAACCCTGAACTTGCTTGCATTTCTGAAGCTGGAGCTGAGGCGGGTTATCAACCTGATAAGTAAACCCAGAGTTTCAGAGAGCGCATCCACATAAAAGGGGCGGAGTTAGCGTCATATAGTCTATCACAATCATCACTGCATCTGTTGTCAGCAGATCGTCATATCTAACAAACTCTGAAGAAACTATATTTATAATCTAAAGACGTTTAAGACAAACAGGCTCCCAGAGACTAAAGTTACACAGTTGCAGGAACAAATGCAGGAAGGACAACTGGCAGAAATAAGAAACATCAAAGTATATTAATGTCTAAACTACTACTTCCCATCATTAGTTCATGTTAGAACTGATGATAAAAATATTCAGGAGATTGAACATTATTAGTACAGGAAAATACAAAGGTCTTTTAACTAGTCACCTGCATTATCTTTGTTTTGAACAAGCAGCTGCAGGAGGATGTTTAAAGGTTCTATATGTAACTTTTTACATGAATAAATTTTATCGCCCATTAATAAGCGAACGGTTAACTGATGTGAAAAAGTACACACACACTCCTGCTCTCAGCCAGTGCCTGCCGAGACTGTCGTTTGTAGGATGGAGAATGAATACAGACACACAGACTCCTTCACAGACTTTCACGTGTATGACCACTTACCTCCTCTGTTAACATTATGCCGGTAAATATCCAGTGTTTCACGACCGATGATGATGCTAGTTTGTGTACGTATGAGCACATATGACGAGCACACGAGGGAGAGCTAGCACAGCTTACTGTTGCGGTTCACCTAACAGCCTCCAGTGTCACTACAAACACAGTATTTCTGAAAGTTACATATAGCCCCTTTAACGTTATTTTGAAACAAAGGTCCTCGAAAGACGAACATCTGGCCGAGTATCACCGGATAATTCAACACCAGATAACCAACGTCTCCTTAAAGGTAACCCAGCATTTATACCAAAAAGAAACTTATCACATGTCACACATTTTACGATCCAGTCATGTCGAGGACGTGGAATACAAAGATGTGTAAGAATGTTTTTGTGTATTAAGGACGGACGCCTTCTGCCCGCCAATCCCAAGGACACAAAACACGATGCTTCCACGTATCCGTGACGTCTCCTCCAAATTCATCCGTAAGCTGTTTCTGATCCCAATCATGACAGTAAGAGGAGCAGCTGATATCATAACATCTTTCAGATTGCTGGAAAGGAAAGTGTCAAAAATAAAATATGACATCATCAAACTTTTAATGACCGGAGAGCGAACAGGTCTGATAGAGGAAAGACAACTTACATTAAGTTTATTACTTAAGTAAAGAAATAAAAGCACTCTTTGTGTGTGTGTGTGTGTGTGTGTGTGTGTGTGTGTGTGTGTGTGTATGTGTGCGTTCACCTGCTTTATAAAGACCATGACAGAGCGTGCAGCAGAAATAGGACAAAGCTGAGACATATCGGCATGTGGCAGCCGGCTGCAGGAATACCAACCGGGCTGCTTTTAGACTGTGAGCACACACACACACACACACACACACACACACACACACACACACACACACACACACACACACACACACACACACACACACACACACACACACACACACACACACACACACACACACACACACACACACACACACACACACACACAGGAATGCTGCTGGAAGTTTCCGGCTGGCTTGTGTGGGTATATAAGCAGCTGAGAGACGCTCATCAGACAAACAGACCCCAGACTGAAGCTGCTGATTTTAAAGCTAAACCTCTTCCACCGCCACCATCAGGATGTTGTGCCCCCGAGTCTTCCAGCCCTCCCCGATGGCCATGACGCCCTTCCTGGACCTGCACTGGCCGGTCCGCAGCCTGTGGCCCGAGACCCGGCCACTGTTCTTCCAGCTGGAGCAGGAGATGATCCGTCAAATGCAGGAGATGAGGCAGAGCATGGAGTACATGGAGCGTCTGCACCAGAAGATCTTTGAGGAGATTGACTCCTCCTCCTCCTCTGCAGGGTTTTTTAAGCCCATCGCCTTCCAGGAGCTGGGGAGGGATGGGGGCAACTTTGCCCTCAGTCTGGACACGCAGGAGTTCTCCCCAGAGGAGCTGTCAGTCAAACAGGTGGGCAGGAAGCTGAGGGTGAGCGGACGCACAGAGAAGAAGAAAGAGGACAAGAAGGGCTCATACTCGTACAGGTGTCAGGAGTTCAGGCAGGAGTTCGACCTGCCCGACGGCGTCGACCCGGAGGCTGTCACCTGCTCGCTGGTGGGGGGACGTCTGCAGATTCTGGGACTGCAGGAAAAACCAGTGCATGATGGGAAGGAGAGGGTCATCCCAATCAACATCACCTCGACCCCCGCAATCACTTCGTCCAGCAGCGTAGCTGAGGAGAGCAGCACCTCCTCCTCCTCCGCAGAGAGCTGTCCTGCTAAAAACTGAAACCACACAGAGTGAACCATCGTTTCTTCCCCCCCCCCATCTTTGTATTTTCAGTGTGCATTTCTAAATGTGAAGGACGGAGGGGACATGAAGCTCGTATTATTAACTGGCACTTTAATTTTAACTCTTTAATAAGGTCACCTGTGATATTTGACAAGTCATAATGAAGTTAGATTTGTTTCAGACTTCCTGTTTGTCATGTTTAAAGAGACAGGACGATAAAAATGATCAATCTCCTTCTTGATAGAAGTGTAAATATTCCACACTGTGTTGAAATGATAATTATCAAACAGAGTGAACCATCATATGTATATTCCTATCTTTGTAGCTCCAGCATTGTGTATCTGATGAGCCGGGGAACAGGACGCTGATATTCTTTACTCGCCCTTTGATTTAAAAAATGAATCTTTTTAATAAACTCGTGTGAAGTTTCACGACTTGTTAATTTTGGTCAAACTTGTTGGTTTCCTCTCCGGCACGTGATGAATGATGACTGTGCATATTATGGGGGTGCCAGTGGCCTAGAGATCAGTGCGTGCCCCATGTAGGGACCGGGAGGCTCTCTCTCTCTCTGCTGTCCTGTCTCTACAGTAGAGGCTTTAAAAGACCAAAAATAAACATTACAATATAAAAATATAAACATTATATTTAAATGTAAAAATGATCTACATTTATTTTGGTGTAAAAAGTTAATAATCATCTACTGTGCATTATCAAATCTGTGTTCAAATGTCCTCCAGAGACCAAGAAAAGTAAACATTTTGAGGATAAATGAAGTCTAACAGATCAAAAAAAAGTCTCCTATATTACTGGTTGTAAGTCTACACGCACAATGGGATTAACGTGCGTCTGTTTCCCGATGTGGTGGTGAGTAGGGCTGGGCGATTTGACCTCAAATCAACATCACGATTAATTGAACATTTGACCTCGATTATGATGAATGAACGATTATTTAGTAACTTTTTGCCCTCATAGTTCACTGACGAGCTCTCTACTGTAAACATGCTCCACTATTAAAGCTGGGATGTTTTCTAATGACAGAGTTCATATCTGATGAACTATTCTGAGGTTATTAATTGAATATTTCAAACTGAAATCAAAGCTTGATATGAAAGCGACACATTTTAGTTCTGAAGTAGAAATGAACTTCTCTAAAACAGTAGAAAACAAATAACTTGCATTTCTTGCAAACAATTTTTCTGCAGTGTTTACATTTGACTTCTTTTTGTTCGGTGTCTTCTTCCACAAAATGTGTCCAAACGACGGACGTTGCTTCCATGTCGCGGATTGGACGTGCCGTCACGTGAATGCCCTGAAAATAACCGAATAATCGACACAAGCGAGATTACGGCGGTTAGAAGTTCTGAATGTTGGATTCGATAAATTGCCCCTAGAGGTGAATAAAAAGAAGAATCGCTAACCTCTCTACACAATGTGGCAGGATAGTTAGCAGCCATTTTGAAAAGACAGAACTCCTGTTGTGATTCCCGACCAATGAGAGCTCGTTGGGAAGTCGTCTATACAGCACAACAGGTTTCAGATATCTTAAAAGGTTTTAGAAATATCCTTTGGAGATTCATAATCATAATAAGACACGTTTCATTAGTTTCTTTTGGGCTTATAGCTGTCCATGATTAAAATCCAGTCTTGGTTGTTTTGTAGGCGTTGTAGGGCTACAGCTATCCTCCGCGGCTGCAGAGAGCTTGTTAGTGGGGTTTATTTTACACTCATTTAATTCTCACTGCCAGGGGGCAAAATTGTAGGATTCAAAAAACACTTACTGTCAATTATGTCTCCTAAAAGCATGCGCGGTGAAATGAATCTGGGGTTTGTTGCATTTTAAATCAGAACTGGGGTAATAACAACAACAGTAAGGTAGTAACGAGTTATTTTTTGCGTCAGTAACTGTAATATTATTTCTGGAATTTCATTAGTAATGTGTTACTGCCCAACGCTGCCCACAGAGGACCTGCTGGGTAAAAATAAGGACGGTTATTCTCGTTTTCTAAATTCACCTAAACTTGAAATGGTAGAAAGAGACAGACGACAATAAACCACAGGACACCAGTTCTCTACTTTCTTTGTAAAATAATTCTCAATAAACTTAATTTATTCACAAACTGCTTTTCAAATTGCCATGTTGTCATTGTTCTTTTTTTTTTAATCACATACAATAAAAAACATTTCTAAAAGACAAGAGATGTCCGAGTCTCTCCGCTAACTTTGTACACGTCAGCTCCTCCTTCGTCCTCGAGCTTCTTTTTATTATTTTAAGCACGCTGCGTTCATGGCCGACACTTCGTCACGCTCAGACATCAGATTAGAAATATTAAGAAAAAACAGCAGAAAATGATAAACAGAGGGACTAAAAATTTAACAGCTACAGTACACATTTCCTTTTCTTCTCTGTTAAGTTTTTGTCTTTTCCTTTTTTTATCTTTTAACGTTTTGATTTACAGAATAATAGAATATGTTCAGTTAAGGCTTATGTTGAGTGTAATGAAGCGAACAAACCGAACGAACCAGGAGAGATGGGGGAGGGGCTTGAGTGTGTGTGTGTGTGTGTGTGTGTGTGTGTGTGTGTGTGTGTGACACAGGGACACTACCTGGGACTGGACATTAGTTACAGGGACAGCATATGTGTGTATGTTACAGAGGCAAGGTTTGTGTGTGTGCTGCAGGATGATGTGTTGGTTTATGTGGTTTATGGGGACACTACCTGTGATCATGTGTGTGTAAAGGCCCTGACACACCCAGGAGACCATCGGCCGTCGATGAGCAGTCGTCGCCCTAGTTTTTGCGGCTTGTCGAGCTCCGTCGCTACCCGTCGGCCCCACTTGGCCTTTTTTTGACCGATTCCACATGTTGAATCGGCGTGAGCCGGCGTGGTTGGGGGTAGGAATCTCTCTGATTGGCGGTTCAGCTAAGCAAAACAGGAGAGCCAGTGCACGAGAAGAAATACGGAAGCGCCTCTTCTATTCTTGTTTAATAAAAGACCAAGGGCTGACAACACCAGCGCCATTTTCAACTTTTTAACAGACAATATTCTCCATTAGAAGTTCCTATATTACAAGTGATGAGCAACAGCGGTGAGAGAATTGTCTTCTGGTATCACAAAAACAGTTTATTTATCTGCGTTCCTCCTCGTTCCAGACTACCGCCCCCTGCTGGCATGGAGAGGTATTTCCTGTCATGCAGGAGCAGAACATACGTGGTGGTTGGCGGTCGGCTGAAGTCTTTACGGTGTGTCAAGACAAAAGGCATCGTGCGCAGACGCCACAGGCGGCCTTCAGCGCTGCTAATTCTTTGCCGTCTGCTTGGTGTGTCAGGGTCCAAGTGTTTATTTGGTTTACGGGGACATGATCTGTAAATGTGTGAGCCGGGGGCAGAGTGTGTGTGTGTGTGTGTGTGTGTGTGTGTGTGTGTGTGTGTGTGTGTGTGTACGGGGACTGTGTATGAAACTGTGTGAAATGGGGACTGTGTATGAAACTGTTTGAGCAATAAGGTTGTCAATGTTTTCAATATATTTTGATACCACGTTTTCAAATTGTACAATTTCTGTTATTGTAATGATCAAGAGAATTTAAAGTACCACTTACTTTTCTTAAACTACTTCTCTTCAATAACACCGGGGCGTAGGAGAGCGGTAAACTCTGCACTCTCTAAGCTGCACAAAAACATCTGCAACATTTCTTTACAGAACTTTACCAGCAACTTGAGACCAATTAATTCCTCTCCTACAGACGCACCGGTCTATGAAATAGATATTTCAAAGTGTATGTTCGTCTTGATACCATCTGTAATTAAAATAAGAGATTATATCGTTTAGTGTAGCGATGCTGCATTCACACAAAATCAGAATGGGAAGAACACGTCTAACATGGATTTTGGGAATTTACCAAGAGTGGTTTAACAAAGATAAATCACTGCAACTGTGTTCAACCAAAATCTGAGAATTTAACAGTAAAGTATCCTAAATCTGGAATGATTATCCATCACCGCTAATGTTCAGTAACCTTCAGTTTTTTGGCCAGAATTTGCATGGTGCATTCAGGGACAGTTCGACATCTGAGATCTAACAGTGTTCTGCTGAAGTGAATTGACTCTTCCTAAATAATGATCCAGTTTACTTGATGATTGTCTTGTAGTTTTGAGTTCCTAGAGAGCTTCTTAAGTGCCTTTCGATGTCTGACTGTCAACTCTCACACATTAAAGTGCCCTTAAATGCATCACTAGTGATAAGTAGCTCTGACACGTGGGTTTATTTAACATATTATTACATGAGAGGAAAATAATATAAACATTATATTAATAAAAATGATGGGTAAGAAAATGGTTGCCCAGAGGGAAGGAAATCAACCTGAAACCTGAAAGAGGATCTGAAATTATCAGAGGGAAGTGAAGACAGTCTAAACACAACATGTCAAATATGAAGACCGAGCCATGTGGCCCTGAATGCAGCAGTGACGCTCAGTGAAAGTGTGAAATGCTTCAATGTGCGGATTATGTTCTCTGTGTGTGTTTACAGCGATTTATTAAACCACCAAAGGAACAAGAACAACATCATGATAACCCGTTGGCATTCACTCCTGGCGGCTCAAGATACAATCTAGATTCAAATTTGATTTCTGTGAGCGCATGAAGACGTATGGTTGTCATGGCACCAGAATTTAAAACTTTGATATGATTCTAGTAAAACTCAACCGATATAGATTTTAGTTTTACACCACAGGAACACAGTAGAAGTCCTGATCACCAAATATTTGGTAATTTCTTGTTTTTAGTGATCGTAAATTGCGCGTAAAAAACTTGCGCATACTGAACAGTATCGGTAACATTTCCGGACAAAGATGTTGCTGATGTATTTGTTTAATTTAAACTGTATGCAGTATGTTTGCCTGCTTTAGATTCCTTCCTCTCCTACACGATTGAAACAGATGCTCTGATTCTATCGATCATTAAAACAAACTGCAGAAGATTTATCGTTTTAGAGCACGTGGTATCGAAAAGTGTTTGTAGCAATGAAGAGACATCAACGTCCCTCACTTTAATAAATTAAATTAACTTAAATGTCAGAGGTCAATCATATGTCTCAAGGTGTGTCATCTTCTTCTGTGGTGGTTAATAATTGCAGAAGTTTCTCATTCTCACACACACACACACACACACACAGGTGAGTGAATGAGCAGGAATGTGGGACCACTCAGGTGAATGACAGCATCAGTGGCTACCCGCCCTCAGTGAAGTCTGACAGAACAACGCCACTTAGCAGCAGCGAACCTGAACGCATCACCATGTTGAGGTCACGTCTCTGTGACATGTTCAAACACACACACACGTTTGTGCACCAGACTCTGAACAGATCAGTGTTATAAAGATAAATATCTTTTAATACATTTAGTCAAAAAGGTCAAATAAAGATTTATATCTGAGATGCTGTCAGAGATTTATTTCATAATCAAAACAGTAAATGAATCAGAACGCTCCTTATTGAATGTTAACGATATAATCAGTTTACGTGATTTAAAAAGATAAATATCAAATTGTTTCTTTTTCACTGTTTTTGAGTTAAACTAAAAATCATAGCGACGGTTTAAATAATTTATAAAGAACGAACAACGCACACCTTGACTTAAGTGAGGCCAAAAGAGTCAGAGCACCCCCTGCTGAGTGTCTGCAGTGGAGCTCATAAGCTTCGCCTACTCAATGTTAACAGATGGGACACTAGTCAAACTATAAAATCTAAAAACAGGTCAGATAAATGTTCCTCAAACATGGTTTTTGGTCTTTCTCGTTAGTTCTTATCACGCTGAGAAGTTTAGTTTTAATCATTTATTTGATGAAAAAAGGAGCGGGAAAGAGCGTCATGATTGACAGCTTGGTTGACCAATGAGGCTTCTGCGTTGCTGTTCGGAACGGATTATCAAAGTAGAGAAAGAAAGGCGAGAGGAAACGTAACAAACACGACCGAAGAGTCGTTGAACTTTCCATAACCGCGAGGAAGAATCTGCTCTGGACTGAAGCCACCTGAGCGACCTTTGACCTTCAACAGGAAGTTCAAGGTGTTTTTTAGTTAACAGAAGGGGCTGGGCATCAAGCTGCAGGGCATCAAGCCAGCTGCTCAGCTAGCAGCCAAAATTACCTTTTTTGTGATACGATTAAGACTGTAGAACTGTAAGGACCATACATGATCCAATGTCGGTTGAATGTGAAGCTTGGAGTTTTTTGAGTGGCTGTTTGTCGAGCAGCAGCTCAGCTTGCAGCCCCCAAAGCTTCAACAAGCGTCAGAGAAACGACTTGAAACATGCAGCTGTGATCAGGTCTGTTTGTTTTTAGAGATGTCTCCTACTGATGGTGATAACACTTTTAGGACAGAGGACATTTAAACGCTGTCGTACTGCTGCTCCACTTATAAGTAAATAATAACGAGTCCACTCAGGTTCTGACGACTAGGATTTTAAATCTTCTTCTACGAGCCTCAACATGATAAATACAGCTGCGTTTATTAGAATCATTTCATACAAGCTTGGAAGAGACCCAGCACGTCACATCAGAGGTCTGGTGTGTGTGTGTGTGTAGAGGTGATGTTTCAGGTTGGTGCTGTGGTGCAGCGCTTGTCTCATCAGACTCAGAGTGTTTCAGACTTAGCAGCTGTGAGTGAACACACCTGGAGGTCGAGAAGCACCTGCACGGTCCGAGTCCGAGTCACGGAGCGATCTCAGGTAGCAGTGACCCGACGTGTTGGGTCGGGCGGGACTCGCAATGTGCAGGTTCCTCTGATCTCAGGTGAGCTGAAGTTCTCTCACAGCGTCGAGTTGTCGTCGCCGGCAGTCACATCATCACCGTCGTTGTCAATCAGCCTCGTTACCAGCTCGTCCAATGAGAGAAGGTGTTGTTCCTGAGAGCCTTGCTGATTGGGGGCAAGGAGGTGCAGAGTGTCGAGATGGTCCGGAAAGAGGAAGGGGGCGGGATCATTTCAAAATAAAACTAGATTATCAAACTGAAACAGAGGACAGCCTTCCATTTACAAATGTGTCAATTTTCTTCAATTAAGTTCAGGTCCAGTTCTGTACAATCCCTCTCAAACACGGCCTGCTGCGCCGCCTCACGCTCCTCCGCCTCCTCCTCGCCGTCGTCCTCATCATCCTCGTCCTCGCGGCACTCCTCGTCGCTCTCGCTAAGCGGCCCGATGCTGGACCTGCCCAGGCACTCGGCCGGCGAGCAGGAGCCCCGGAAGTCTGCCATGAAGGACTCCATGCCCATGCACATGTCACCGCCGCAGGCCAGCCTGCCGCCGCCGCGCTCCAGACACTGAGGGTCGATGCTGCGCGTCTGCAGGAAGTTAAGTTATAAAAACACAGACAGTCACTGAGCGTGTGGAGACTGACACAAGAAAAAACATTTAAACAAGAATCAAATCAGTTCTAAGTTACAAACAGAGTCTACTTTTAACAGAGCTGTCTTTTTTTTTTTTTTTTATTCTAGTTTTTTTGATTCTAGTAAATATGTAACGATATTGACAGCTGTTGGTTACCACGACAACAAAAATAGAAGTCCTCTGCAACCAATTTTGTGTAATGTATAGTTTTTAAAGAACACAAAGTTACAAAGTGTCCCCTTCTCTGTTATTTTTTAAGGAGTAACCCTTTGCAGCTAATAAATAATAAACTAATAAAAGCGCGGTATTTCTCATACCTGGGACATCTTGGTGAAGTCGAGGACGGGCCTGGCGCAGGGTCTGTCGGGGTCTCGGCGTCTCTTCAGACCCGGCTTGAGCAGCAGCAGGTCGCAGGGCTGCGAATGGCAGCGTGGCAGCTGCGGTGGCAGACTGCGGCGCAGAGACGATGGCGTGCTGCAGGCGGAGGATGGGGAGGCGGGCACAGGAACCCCCCTAGCCACTCCGGCCATGGTGGCGCAGCCCGGAGGAGGCGGGGCCACAGCATGACTCGGCACAGGATGAGGGGGGAGGAAGGTGGAGGCCGTTGAGTCTCTGATGAGCACAGGGGAGAGGGAGAAACGCCTCTGAGGAGGGGGAGGCGGGTGGAGGGGGGAAGGAGAGGAGGAGCAGGAGGACGGGGACGGGAAGAAGCAGCAGCAGGCTCCTCCTCCCGCCGCTGCCTCACTGGGGTCCCAGGGGAAGCTCCAGGGCAGCGGTGAGTCTGGAGACAGCGCCAGGCTGAAGAAGGTGGGGCTTGACGAAGAGTGCAGCGACGAGTTAAGAGATGAGCTGGGAGCTCGGAGAGGACAGGCTCCTCCCCCTGCCACGCCAGCCCCTATGCCCCCTCCTCCTGCCCCCACCCCTCCACCTGTGACTCCTCCCCCAGCCCCCCCATGGCACTGCTGGCGGCTGACAGGAGTCCAGACACGTGACGCGCTAGGCCTCCAGGTGTAGCGGCAGCGCGACAGGTCCTCTGGCACCGACAGCGAGCGGCAGTGACGCTTTGGGGGCGGGGGAGGAGGGGGAGGGGGACCGGGGCCAGGAGGGGCCACGGGGGCTCCGGGTAGAGACAGCTCGGACGCCGAGGTGCTGGGGGCCAGGGTCCGGTGCTGCTGAGGCTGAGAGGGGCCGTCCAGGGGGTCGCCCCCCTCCTGCAGGTGAGCATCTGGGGGCACCAGGGGGAGGGGGCCGGGGGGGAAACTAGAGCTCAGTAACCCCCCCTGCAGGCCAGACTTAGAGGGAGGGCAGAGCTGCCAGTAGCTGCTCTCTGAGGACACACACACACACTTTTTTTAATCATTGGCCCTTTCCGAATAGCCACAGTTCAGAAGGCAGTGCGTACTATTCAGTATGGAGTTTCAGTATACTGAACTTTCGTTGGTCATTCAGTATGCATATTTTGGGTCCACCTCAGTATACTATACTATCAATTTTTAATCTAGAGTTAAAGTCCTGACTGAAATCGCTACTTTTAATTAACAACAGAAAATATAACAAATATCTGCATTATTATAAAACCTTTCTCCCTCTATTTAAATAATGATTTCACTATTTAAATGCATCTTTATTGGTTTATTTTATATTCTGTATATTACTGTCTTTCATTTGTACTTTCCTTTATGTACTGTATGTTATTTAGTTATTTAATCTGCCTTTTACTTGATTTACATTGTGATAGTTTTTTTGTTTACCTGACTGTATATGCGCATTACTCTTCTTCATTACTACTCTTCTAAACAAAACAAACAAACAAAAAAAAAACAACGGGTGGATGCGGCCGGTTCGGGTAACGTAAATTACGTCACTTCCTTACTGAATGAATCAGATGAAGTAGGAACAAATATCTGCCTACTGAATAGTAGGTACTAAACAGTATACAGCACGGATAGTAGGTACTGCCTACTGACAGACTGAGTAGGTACTTGGCAATTCGGATGCACCCGCTGTGAATGTTTGTAGGCAGTTCATCAATTTTGTCTTTTTTTCACTTCAGAGTTGAATTCTGCGAGATGTAGGCCCCTGTGTTGATCAGTAAAGCTTACATGAAGTATCTTCTCACATACTCACAGAGCGTCTTCTCTGCTAACCTTCCTATGTCTAAGGGTGGGATTGCTTCAATGTTTCCTTTGATTTCAGATTTATTTATTATGAATTAAAAGTTAAACTCTCACCAGGCATCAAGCCATCAGGGGGCCAGCACTCTGCGAGGGTTTTCGGGTCCAGCAGGGACTGAAAGACAAAGAACATAGTGTCAACATGATTTCTTATTCTAACAATGACTCAGTGAATATTTCTGCAGTACAGACGAGGGGAAATCTAAACCGCCCATCTTCATAGAGTTTCACAATCAGTCGTCTTCTGATTCGCCAATGAACCCTGAAGTATTAACAAATGACGATACTGTCTTTTTACAGCTTACAAACTGGAGCACAGCTCATCAGGACAGCGTTTGTGCTGCCTGCATTAACGCCAAGGCGTTGGACAGCGTTCGCGTTAGAGCTGGGACTCTTCGGGTGTTTCACAATTCAATTTCGATTCTTGGGGTAATGATTCGATTGAGAATCTATTTTCGATCCAGAACGATTCATGGATTCAAAGTCTATTGTTGAATTAATACTTCAGGATCCCCTCCAGTCGTCTGTGAGACGGGCTGAATTTCTTGCTGCTCTATTTGTTTCTGCTGAGTTAAAAAGCTAGCCTTAGCACTTAGCAATTAGTGACTGATTAGCCTAAAAAAAAATAATAATTTGAAGTTATGAATCGATTTAAAATCTCAGAAGATAAGAATCTCGATTTTTACATTAAATGTTTTTTTTCTTTAGTTTGTGCCGCCCTCTTATGTGTCGAGGCGTTTAGCCTCTTTTATCGCCTTCCTCCCTTTAAGAATTTCACTTCCTGTTATCTTTTGGATCTTCAGGGTTTGAGATTTCGCAGAACTTTAAGGAGAAATTTTAATTTTAAAAACAAAAACTGTCAAAGAAGAGACATACTTTTCCTCTGATGAAGACGATTTGAATGTCAGGATTTTCCGATGAACGATGGATCGTATAGAGTACTGAAGCCTTGAAGAACTACAGATCTTCAGCCATATTTTTAATCCAAAGAGAGAGAGCGGTCTGAATTTTACAGATATGTAAAAACTTTTCTATACCAAAATGATTTAACCCCTTGTGAAGCAGGACGCAGTCTGAGATCCCCTGGCAGAGCCTTACTGGCTATTCCACAGTGTTTTAGTGTCTCAAGCCCCCAGACTCTGGAACAGTCTGCCAGAGGAGATCAGACCAGCAGATTATTGTCTGTTGTGAAGCACTCTATTTGTACAGCACATTTCTATACAAGTAACAAAGTATGATTATTGTTTGTTCAATGTAGACCGTGTGCAGGAGTTTACCTGTCTGGTACCATGACAACGCAAGAGGGTAAATTATATTAAATCAAATTAAAACTTAAAATGTGACTTTAATTTTCTTTTATCACTAAAAAATGTGTGAAGTGAGCGCCGACCTGGAGTCTGCAGGTGAGGATGCAGGTGAGGCTGTAGGTGAGTCTGCAGGTGAGAATGCAGGTGAGGCTGTAGGTGAGGATGCAGGTAAGGGTGAAGGCAAGTCTTACCAGGTAACAGTCCCCCGGCTGAGCAGGGTCGCCTTCCAGAGTCTGCTTCCTCAGGCTCTCCACCAGCAGCGTGACCGTAACATGGTGGCAGGTGACGAGGGGGGAGATGGGCGAGGGAGGAGGGGAGGAGACAGGGAGAGGAGGAGAGGGAGGAGGGCTGGCGAACGGGGAGGAGGGGGGGAGAGAAAGAGGAGGAAGAGGAGGAGGAAGGAGGGGAGAGCTACACCCGTTTTTGTATCCGTCTGTTTGGTCAGGCTCAGAAACAAAGGGGGAGGGGCCAATGGCTGAGACGACTCCTCCTCACCACCTCAGGGCCTGGTAGCCCCGCCCACTCTCACAAGGACATCATCACACAGACGTTGCCCCCGGCAACACACCTGAAGAGGAAGGAGAGTGAGTGTTATATTGTAAATTAGTCTGAATCTTCAGGTCAAACAGCCAATAGGAAGCGTGCAGAGATCACAGGTGAGATAATCAGATTTTTTATTTCACACCTGTAGTCAGACAGATTCACCTTTTTGTTCAAAGCCAACAGACTTTATTCACAAAAACATTTCATCCTCCTGCACACTGAAGTCACTGTTCCTGCGTTGATGAATGAATCAAAACTCTTAACGGCTCGACCGTCTGAAACAGCGCCAACGTGTAAGTGAGACAGCGAGTCGAGTTTACTTTCAGAGTTTGGTCATTAAAAATAAGAAATGTGTAGGACTTGTGTTTCTGCTGCTTTGGTGACAACAGGAATCCATATTGTTTGATTTTAACTAGAGTCAGACAGATTCACCTTTTTGTTCAAAGCCAACAGACTTTATTCACAAAAACATTTCATCCTCCTGCACACTGAAGTCACTGTTCCTGCGTTGATGAATGAATCAAAACTCTTAACGACTCGACCGTCTGAAACAGCGCCAACGTGTAAGTGAGACAGCGAGTCGAGTTTACTTTCAGAGTTTGGTCATTAAAAATAAGAAATGTGTAGGACTTGTGTTTCTGCTGCTTTGGTGACAAACAGGAATCCATATTGTTTGATTTTAACTAGAATCAAAGATTTAATCTGGTATTGTGACCAGATAAGACCGTTAGAGAGCGAGGTGAGGTGAGGCGAGGTGTAAAGTCAAAATGATCTACAGAAGTTCAAGTCCACTGATTTCCTCGTCAGTGAAACTCTGAAGTTTTAAATTCAGATAAACTGAAAACTCACTGAAAACAGTCGAAACTGAGAATCATTTAGTCAAAATGATCTGCAGATAATTTGGTTTGCAGAATGTGGCTAACGTTAGCATTGCTAACAGCTGCAGTCCTCCCTGCAGGTTAGCGTCCAAGTGTCTGAATGTGGTCACTCATCAATCCGGTCGATATGTTTAACCTGCAGACAACGTTACCTCCATTTATAGATCTAAACACTGACAAACTGCTCCGATCCAATGAGATGCTTTCTGTTCACTGTGCTTGTTTACATCCAGGTCCTACAGCCCCGACTAGTGGTGGGAGGCTGTGTTGCAGTTTAAGCACAAAATCGGAATAATTCTTTTAACTGACTAGTAATTCTGGTGCCGATGGAGACAGGATTTTTGGGCCGATATCCATATCCGGGAGAGAAAGTATCCAATATATCGGCCGATATATTTCTTAAATCTATGTTAGATGTATAGAGATAGAGCTCATATAGATGAAGACATTTATTGCTTTTATCTATCAAATGCAGTTATCATACACTCGTGGGAAATATTTATAATGAAGTTATAAGATGGAAAGTAATTGAGCGTGTACGTGCATCACCGCTCACACTAAAATTAAATGCTATTTGACTGGTAAATAAATCTAGTAATATCGGCGCACATCATAGATAAAATTAACCGATACTGATAGTCACTAGATGAGCGAATAGGCCGGCTGATTAATCAGTCGGGCAATTATTAAGAAAAACTATTTATCTAATATTGGGGGGCTAGGACTTCTGTTTTTGTTGCTGTGATATCTATCATTTGATTTTTACTAGAATCATATCAAAGTTTAAAATGCTGGTTCGTAGTCTCGCTCCTAAAGCAAACATAACATGTGTCAGTATGTAAATAACATGAGGGCCCCTCACTGTAATCTCATGGACACTTTGGGCTCCGGGAACATGAGGTCAGGGGCCACACTCAGTACAGACCCCCCTCACTTATGTGTCCGGTGCTAACCCGGGTATAACCCGTGCTAGATGAGGTTAAATAATGCCTCTCAGTGTTTGCAGATGACAGGCTGTCCCTGACAGGGGAGGCCATTGTGCAGTCTGAGCAGAGCCGGACTCACTGAGGCCGCTGGGCATCTCAGCTGCTGCTAGCATGCGGCTAACAGATCTCATTGTTTTCAATGAGGGACGCTAACACACTGATGTGGCGTTTCTCCCTGTGGAGAGCAGAATTAAACTGTGAATGACATTATGCTTTTTGGACATGAACTCGGTGTAGAAAAATAAAATAATTGAGGTTTTCGATCATTAAGGCATCCGGTTACATCACCGAGCAGCTCAGCATCACCTGCACAGTTAGCCTGCTATAAATAATATGTCATGTCGATATTACTTTCAAGGTCGGCACAATAAATTCAGCCATTTTGCCCCCTGAAACTCCGCATTTGACAGAGCAGAGTTCCCCCAGCACAGTGTCGCAGCCTCCGGGCTCAGGCCGGTGTGTTCCGCGGGGCTGCGGGGCTAACAGGCAGCTACACTGGCCGTCTGTCTGCATCCAGGGGCAGCAGCTAGCTAACGGAGGCTAACTGACCTGCCCAGCGTTAGCCGGCTAGCCGCGTTAGCAGCGTTAGCAGCGTTAGCCGCGTTAGCAGCGGTAGCCGCGGTAGCAGCGGTGATCTCACAAACAAACGGAGAATATGAGAGCGGATGTTCTCGCTGCCGTCTCTCTTCCAGCCATCAACTCACAGAGCTTGTTTCTGAATAAACATAAATGTTTCTCTGGATACATCACAGCCACAACATGCGGCACCTATCATGAATAATGACGGGGATGATGATACCGTCTGGCCGGCCTGTGAGCGGCGCGTCAGGATGAAAAACACGGCGGGATGCTGCGGGATGGATCAGCCCGCAGCAGCTAGCTTGCATAGACAGATCCACTAACACAGCGCTTATTGTGTTCATTGTCAGCCGGAGAGGTGCTTACCTTCTCGGACAGCTCCTCCGGATGCGAAGGTGAGGCGGCTCCAGTGATGCGGCGGGCCGGCAGACAGCGGCGGAGCGCGGTGTATTGACCCAGTGTTATCACAGAGCAGAACGCACCGCTCCGCCTGCCGCTGCCGCTGTCAGCACCAAACCTCCACAATGAATTAAATCCGGATCTATACGCTCACCGAGGGCTCTGCGGGGACGGGAAGACACCAGATACCGGCTGAAATCAGTGTCCGCTGAGCTGCGATGATTAAAACATAATAATAAAGAGTGAGCGCGCACACGCCCGTGAGCGGCAGGCATTCATAAATAACATTTACGGCGGCAGGAGCAGGAGGAGGAGGAGGAGGTGGAGGAGGAGGAGGTGGTGGAGGAGGAGGAGGAGGGGCGGCGCTATCTTCATCATCACAGCGCGTGCACCTGCTTTTTATTCTCACGTTATATTTTTATATCGCATCATCACTTTTATTTCATGAATACGTATTTAAAGAGAATTTAACAGATAAAAAATAAATTCAGCAGTCTTAGAATTAGCCCTTGGAGGCTGGGGGATGCTGGGAGATGTAGTTTACAGCCTGAGCTCAGCAGCTTGTTTACAGCAGCAGCAGCTCTGCGGTCTGATGCGCCTGTCGGTCAGTTCTGCGGTTTTTATCAAATCACTCAGACATTCAGGTGAAACAGAGAGAGAGATCATTGTGTTTAAACAACACACACGCACACACACACACACACACACACACACACACACACACACACACACGCACGCACACAGACAGATGATTCACCGTCAGTCACAATGATGCTGTCTGCAGCAGCACACCGTGTGGCGGGAGGAGTCTGCTCCGTTACTCAGTTTAATCTACAGAAGATGTAAAAACATTTCATGCCTCTCAGTTTGTGTTTGACTCTTTTAATGGTTCCAACAAATTCTCATTCTCAGGTTTGGACTGTGTCATTGTGAAGGAGCAGGGGCGTAGTAGGGGGTGGGTTGTGGGGTTGAAACTGACTCCGATGGGTCCTATAGCCTGTATGAGTACAGGCTGTAGACGTTATTACTCGAGTAACGCTTTAGTGCTCGTGCGCCCGGGAACCCGTTGTTTTAGGCTGATCAGAGGTACTGTCATGACCCGGCTCTTAAGACCTGACTACCTGACTTGCACTGTTTTAAACCAAACAGTGCCAGGTTTATTACCAAAAATACCACCAAGATACCACAACAATACAACAAAAACATGGGACCAGTCAGGAGCTGAGGTGATGGTGTGACGCTCCGGAAGGATGCGAGAGAGAGTGAGAGGTTGACAGCCCGGTCTTAAGGAGCCTGGCCAGGTCTGCCCAGGTATGGCACAACACCGCCCAACCAGCGACCTGCGGGGACACAAACACACAGACAGAAGGGCAAAACACAGAGCAGGCCCTGCTGGTGGACGGGCGGTCACAGGTACAAAGAGATGTAATGTTTCCAGCTTTATTCAACATACACATAATGGTTAATTCACATGTTCACGTACAGAGCGAGCGGCAACCTCCGGGGCTAAACATGAAGCCGATGCTGAAGTATAAAATCCTGCAGTTCCTCGAGTATCCACTAGAGTCCTGCCTGCAGAATCGCAGGAAGTCACATACACACCCATTCAAAAAGTCTGTTTTTACAGCAGAGATTAACATGTTTACAGCCTGGTTCAAATAACCAAAAAGGTCTGATTAGCTCATGTCTCGATCAGCACAAACTGTACGGGGGGTGAATGTTTTGATGACTCATCTGTTTTGATTTGATGAAGGATAAGAGTCATTCACAATAAAGCGCAGAGGTGTCAAAAGTATTCACATTCATTACTCAGGTAGAAGTATATATATTAGGGTTTAAAAAGACTTCTGTAGAAGTTGAAGTTTCAACTCAAGCTTTTTACTCAAGTAAAAGTGTAAAAGTACTGGTTTCAAAACTACTTAAAGTATAAAAGTAAAAGTAATGTAAGGGGAAAAAAATACCATTAAGGACAAAAGTTTAGGCTGCGCCACAGGGTCATATAGTGCACTACCCCACCTCCTCAAAAAAACATTGTTCTAAAGGCCATAATGACTAAAATGTTATATTAAAATGTTGAAGTTGAAAAATGTGGGATGCACCTGATTCAGCCGCATTTATGCCCATTGAAAATGAACACATTTCAGTACAATGCAAATACATTAAAGAACCATATATGTGTACTACTGAGCATTAACATGTGTTTCATGGAGCAGAAGATATGATGACTAGTTTCCTATAAGTATTGTAATGGTGCATGAAGTCAAACTTCAGAGGCATGTTATCGATAACCTTTATTGGAATGTATATGTACAAACTTGGGACATTTCGCTCGAGTTCTCTTGAGTCTCTGCCACGGACATCTTAGTACTAGGCTACATACGTCTGCTATTTCCTTGCTGGAGTGTGACGTGATTTGTGTCATGTGCAGGTGCGATGGATCGCGTACAAACCAATAGTGTGTCGGAATGGTATTTGTTTATACTTCTCATCCAACCACAATCAAATTCACTCTATCCGGATGGCGCGATTTATCTGGATAGGTTTTTTTTGTGTGTGTTTTTTTGAGCGATGACAAGCCGGAATGAAAACAAGCCGAAATGAAATAGTAGTAACGAGGCTATTTTTAAAATGTAAGGAGTAGAAAGTACAGATAATTGCGTGAAAATGTAAGGAGTAGAAGTAAAAAGACAGCTGAAAAAGAATTACTCCTGTAAAGTATCTTCTTAAGCCTTTTGCTCCTCTTGGGTGCATAGGCCGCTGACAAATATCCTCCATTTCACTCTGCTTGTGGCTTTTCGCTCAAGCTCTCCCCAGTTGAGCCCACTCTCTGACATTTCTGCCTTTACACTTCTTCTCCAGCTGTTCCTGGGGCGACCTCTTTTCCTTTTCCCCTGGGGGTTCCATTTCAGGGCTTGTCGGGGGATGTTTGTGGCAGGTTTTCTGAGGGTGTGGCCAATCCAACTTCACTTTCTCTTTTGGATTTAAGTCTATGGGGTCTTGGCTTGTTCTTTTCCACAGGTCCACATTGTTGTCTTTGTCTTTCCACCAGATGTTTAATGTCCTTCTGAGGCAGGTGTTGATGAATGTTTGCAGCCTGTGTGTTGTGTGTTTTGTTGTTCTCCATGTTTCGGATCCATACAGCATCACTTGTTTAACGTTGGAGTTTAAGATACGTATCTTAGTGTTTGTGGAGATGTTTTTTTAGCTCCAGATCTTTCTGAGCATGTGAAACAGTAAAGTATAGATACCCAAAATTTCTACTTAAGTAAGGTACCTCTGATAAGGCGTGTAGCTGACCTGATTGACAGGCTGGCACGGTGTCAGGAGGCTTAAAACCCGCCTCAGCTCCAGCTCTCAGCCTGTTAGGTTGACTGAAAGTTAGGCTGAGACAGCATTTCCAGCATGGAGACCACCATCGATGGGACTCCAGCACCCCCCTTGAATATTAACAGTCTGTAATATAGAAACTACCACCCTCAAAGCTTTCAATCTGGGTTTGAATCCGACCTGTGGCTCCTTTCCCGCATGTCATAAGACTCTCTCACCCTGATTTCTGAAACTATCCACTGTCCCGAATGAATATAGAAATTAAAGCCCAAAAATAAACCTTAAGTATGAGAACCCAGCACACAGCAATGTTTCCTTAAAGTCTGATGGTTCAGTAAGGTCATTTTATGGAATCATTTAGGTGTAATCTGACTGATTGATCCTTGAAATAACTGATTATATCATTTTAAAATGTGTGGCATCTGAAAGTTTTAAACAAGTGAAATGTTGTCTGTCTTAATGTAAATCAGCTCATGAATGTAATGGTGTGATTATAGTAATATCTCAGACTGTGCGGAGACCTATGTGAGACCTGTTCACAGGGCCGTAAAGGTCCTGGAGACGCCCCTGATGAAGGTGTCACTCTGGGTTGAATATTAAAGAATATGAATCACAGAAGAGTCAGAGTGAATTTTTAACACTTTATTTACATCTTTATTAATTACATCTTTCAGCTTTGCTCTCCAGATTCAAGCAGCACAAAATACAAATTGATAAACACAAGTAAAAGAAAACACAAAGCGACAGCTCTTTTCCCCCCCCATTATCCCCGTTTTGTTTTTGAGAAAAAACACGACGGCTCAGAGGAGGGACAGACTGGCAGCTGAGCATGAAGGTGAGTGTGGACGGAAGACAGCCGAGAGGCCACTGCGTGACACAAACATGAAATTAAAACATTTACTTTGAATCTGTGACTTTAAGTAGAAACGGCAGCTTTTGCTTAGTGCAGGGACATTCAACTCAAAACATGATGCAGGTGAGAGGTGCAGGTAACAGAAATATACTAAGTGCAAACTAAAGTACAATGCTCAGCGTTCAGCTGCCACACCGGAGGAGGTGTTCAAGAGCAGCTGGGAAATCTCAACACCTCCGGGGAGGAGTTGAGGTTCCTGTCAGTCCTCCTCGGAGTAGATCACAGAGGGTTGGATGTTCTCGGATCACATTCTGCTGTCCTTAAGAGTCGAACTTCAACTATCTTAAAAAGACGGACAGACACACACAGACCCGCACTAACAGGTCCAGACCGACCACATCACATCAGGGACTTGTTTGCAGACGACTCAAGCGTGTTTGTTTCAGGCGGTGGAGATCAGTAAGGGTTCCACAGGAGCTGGTCTGAAAACACAGGAACCTGCTGGTCATCAGAGCCCAAATCTAGAAGAAAAACACAGCAGAGTCAGAGACGAAACCTTCAAATTAACAACGATAGACTGACAACATCTACGAGAAAAACACGTCAGAAAGAGACGTGACAAACGAGACAGTCAGATATTTAATCTACAAGAACGACAACTTCAATACAAAAATGTAGTAAATAAGCCATTTAGGGTGCAATCATACCTGAGCCGTTTTAAACGAACTCTGGTGACCTTTTGTCAGATAGTCCGTTTGGTTTGGGGTGGTGTAAATGCTTAAACAAACCATGGAGAGGACCAAAGAACTGAACTCTGGTCGGCTTAACCGGGGTCTCGGTCCGCTTCCGAGTACTCCAGAGTTCAGTTCACTGTAGGTGAGAACTACGATCGGAACTAAACAGCAGTGCATTGTGGGTTGAATTTGACAGTCTGTAAACAATGTCAAATAGGTTTGCAGAGCGCGGCTAACATTAGCATTACTAACAACAGCACCTGTCCGTCCTCCTTACAGGTGAACGTGCTGATGCTAAATGTGGTTACACATCACTCTGGTCAATATGTCACAGCTTTATAGATCAACATACTGACAAACTGCACCGTGCCATTCTTACACTGTCCTGTTTACTTCAGGGTCATAGTTCAGCATTAGACCAGATGGCAGCAGCCACTGACTGGAGCTACAGCACCAACTAGAGACGGGAGGCTGCAGTATAGATCTGACAGACTTTGATGCTCGTAATAAAGTGAAGGAAAATAAAAATGGAACAATGATGCCACTCCTGAATCGCACAGAGTCCACCGGATCTGTGAATCTCCTGACAAATGGCTACACGCCCACCCGTGAGCTTGACATCAGCATTAAGATGACCAATGGGCATTTGTTTTGGTTCAGACAGAAGATCGATGCTTGTCACGGCCAACTGTGTCGATGAAGCGGCCATCTGAGCACCTCACCTTGGGCTTCATCGGCCTCCAGCAGGAAGCGGATCCAGTCGTTCATGTTGTCGTTGATCAGCTGACTCCTGAAGGAGAAGCTCAGTCCAGGAGGAGAGCGGAGAGGTCTGAGGCTGCCGTCCTCCTCCTGCAGGAAACAAACACAGTTTCATCCAGGAGGTCAGTTTCTGATCTCTGATGAGGTCGTCAAAATGGATTCTTTGATGAGTGCTTTTAAAAAAACAAAAAACAATGAATCTGTTATTTTAAGGATCAATGAGACCACAGAAGCTTTAAATAAACTTGTATTTCTGTCGCTGTGGTATCAAACAGGTATATCGTTTGATTTAGACTTTAAACGTCATGACAACCCTGAGGACTGTGTTTGTACCGGGGACAGCGGGCTGGTCCAGGGTCCGGGCAGCTCCAGAGACGTCCCGGCCGATAGAAGACTCACAGAGGAGGCTTTGGAGGCTGCATGAGTCTCCTTCTCTCTCTGCTTGTCTCCTCCATCCTCACACAGGTCAGAGGTCATCTTGGCCAGCTGGCTCTGCCTGAACACAAACTAACCAGTTTAGAAACAGCGAAGTGTTAACACCGTCTCTAACGAGGCACAGAGTGTAAGAATGAAGCTCGCTCACTGAAGGTTTTAGGTTTGAGAGAAACCCGACAGCTCACCAGGATTCATTCACGATGAACAACTTGAAACATTAAACTGGAATTCATTTGGGATCAAAAGGTCAACAAGCTCCAGAAAGTCAACACTTCAAACCACCTACAGTTGCTCCACGGGGTCCTGTGTCTCTTCGGCGTCCGGCTGGGATTCGGACGGAGGGTCCCAGAGGTGCAGCGCCCGCCTCCACAGACGCACCTGCATGTCCCAGGAGCGGCGGCTGTACTTCCTGTACTTGTTGGGAGTCGATGGGTGGAGCTTAGGGTCCCTCATGTGTCTGAAGAAGGACCAAAGTGTAACAGCCATTATTTACTTTAAATGTCAGGAAAAAATGTACAAAGAGCATGATGCCTGATTTATAACTGCATAGGACGAAGGTGATTAGAAATGTTTAATGAGCCGATAGAACTACCAACATTTTGAAAAGTCAAACACAGCAAGACTCTTCTGCAGGTTCTGATCCATCTTTTCTCTAACAAAGATGTTTTCCTGAAAGCTTCCTCACAGATGTTCCTCATAGCGTGAAGAGTAACTGGACAGGAGGGGGAGGCGGGGATGTGTGCTTCAGATGTATGACATGACGTGATAAAAAGCATGGCCGCCGTAGTATATTTCCAACCTGTTTTTATTTATTTTTTCCATTCATTAGAAAAAATTGCTGCACGTGCAAGACAGCAAGCGCAGGCGCGCTCATGCGCCGTGCAGCAAAACTCCTATGTCGACTCTTGTGGAGAGACGGGAACCAAGAGAGCTAAATCACATCAGCTTCAGAGAAAGAGAGAAGTTCCACTGTCCGCAAACCCCTCTTGTGCCAATCAAAACTGAAGCGTCTCATGGCTTTGTTCTAAAAATTTTAATGTACATCTGCTTGCTGCTGAACTCTTATAAATAAGTAACGAAATATCAATGTTACAATTCACTTAGACGCTTTTATATCAAGTGGAACTTTTCAAAACTCGAGACATATGCCTGGTGTTTGTGTGCGTGGATAAATTGAACAGATTAAAGTTCTTTGTTGCAAAAACTAAATTAATTTAGAGGGAAAAACACATTTGATATAAATACAAGAAAGAAAAAAACGATCGTCTTTCCAAATTCTCCTGATTATATCCTACTGCGTTCTCACATCAGCTCACTCTGACTCGGAGAAACTCCAGATAAAGAGAGAAACATTCAGCTGTTTGTGTTCACACATGACGCTCAGCACAGAAACTTCAGCAGGTTTGTTCAGGTGTGAACAAGACTATTCAACTATTCTCAGCATCAAACAAACAAGTGGAGAAAAACACAACGTGGGTGAGGAATTAACAAAAATAAAGAGTGTGAAGCAGCTTCACCACACGACCCTGAATCTAAAAGTCTGCGTGATGATGTCACTCAGGACATGCATGTCATCTGTACCTGTGTGGATCGTCTCACCTGGGGACTTGCTGCAGGTAGTTCTGGTAGCCGCTGGTGTTCTTACCATACTGGATCTGTTTCTGCCGCCGCTTCAGAACCGCAGCGTTGGTCTCTGTGTTGGCGGGGTCGGGGAGGCGGGGGTAGCAGCGACTGATGGGGGGTCTGCATGAAGACAGAGGTCATTTTAAAAAGTCTCCTGTGAAGCTTCAGACCTCTGGCTCTGCTCTTACTGAACATGTTCAGCTCTGTGTTTTCATTTTGTAATGCTGTACTGTCTTAATCTGAGAGTCCTTTACTTGCTGTGTGCTTTTATTTTGAAATAAAGTAAGGCCCTTCCTGTAAATGGTAGGTTAGGACATGAAGCTAAGCACAGAAACACGAAGTGGTTATCGATCCCAAACAGCTCAAAGGAACAGTAACAAAGGTCAATGTGTGATGTCATAAGGTGGATATTACTTTGGACTCGTCAGCTGAGCTGTCTGAGAGTTTGTTAAAGTGAAATGAGACATTCAGAGAAGCAGCAGTGTCCTTCTTTTACATCACTGAGACTACAGGGAGACACTGAGGACAACTATCTACGGTGAGCCTGAAGGGACAAAAATACCATGAGATTAATCAGGGTGAAGACTCTACTTTAAATGAAATGTTTTTAGCAATCATGACATTTTTGTGCTGTTGACCTTCAGGGCCACCGTAGGCAACTTATCCAAACTGAAACTTTTCCGTCTGTCTTATAATCAATCCGACATTTTAGAAGACACCCACCCCTTTAAATCCCCGCCCCCTTTAAGAGCGCCCTCTGTTGGACTAAAAGACTCTCCTTTGTCTCCAGGTGTTTAATCATTATTTCCTTTGTGGTTTCCAACGTCTGCATTCAGAGCTGACTGACCTCTTACTGTCCAGGTCGTCCGTCCCCACCGCCACACTGCTGGTCGACACTTTGAGGATGCAGCGCTCCAGGATGGACGGCCTGAACCGACAAACTGGATTCATTATCTCATACACAATGATGAAATTTAAGATGCACCTCCCCCTTCTTCTACTTGATATGCTAAATGCTAAGCTAAGTGACAGTTAGCAGTAATGCTAAGCTAAAAGGCAGTTAGCACAATGATTAAACCCTGAAAGCATGTTCAGTGCTCCGTTCTTTAATTCTTGTTAGTGATCGTCATTGTTCAGAAACACTTTGATAATTATATTTTTTTTTAACCTGCGAGGTTTGGTGCTGCCGGCTCTCTCTCGTCCTCGCAGGCCGCTGGCAGCAGGAGGAGACGGGATCGGAGACACGTTACTGTGGAAGAGGAAAAAATAGAACATTGAGGAGAAGAACATGGTGGAGGCCACAAAGGAGAAGACCACAGAAGATTAAAAGAAGATGAAGACGGACGAGGAGGAGAAGATGAAGCAGGAGAAGTAGAAGAGTAACAAGTCAAAAGAGAAGGAGAAAATGATTTAAGATTAGGAAGCAGATGGAGGAGTAGAACACAATGAAGATGGAGAAGAATACAAAAAGAAGAGGAGGAGGAGAAGATGAAGAAGACAAAGGAGATAAGAGGAGACAATGACAGAGGAGTAAAGGAATAAAATGATCAGACAGAAGTAATCAGGGTGCAAGTATCTGAGATCAACAGCTCTGCTCTCGTTTGAGCCGGTCTGTAACTCGTTCTTCTCTGATGAGACTGAACAGAAGAAGTTCTCATGGTCAAAATGAAGTCGCATGAATGAATGGTGAGCTGTGGTCGCATGTCTTAAACAAGTCAGTCGTATGTTGTACGCCGGACTCTGCATTGGCTTTGCTTTTATTTAAGAGCCAACGTCCATTTTGTATATATACAGTCTGCAGCCAAATTAAAATATAGAAGTTATTGAATGAAGAGGTGTTTCTCACCTGACCAGGCTGTCGTAGACAGAGCTGCATCCTGGGAGGAGCCACGGCTCGGGGGCAGAGCATCCGGAGGCAGCTGCAGCAAGCAGCGGGTCACTGAGACCGTTCCACACAGCGGCCGACCATCCCTTCGCGCACACACACGACCACGGGCTGAAACAGAAACTGAGAGAGCGGGATTTCCGTCTTTGATCCGACACAAGTTCAAATGTAACGATATCAAAACCTGTTGTCACCACGGCAACAAAAAATAGACGACATAAGTCATCGACACTGGGCATTGAAGATTACAGGCAAACCCCAAACACAGTCTAAATAACACAAAACATCAATAACTTGTCTGGAGGGAGAAGTTACCGATGTTTTCAGACAGCGTGCCGTCTGCAGGAGTTTACCTGTAATCCACTCATTCACACCTGTCTGATGATAACACTTAAACAGGAAGTAGGCAATGATAGCTCACACTACAACTAAAAGCTGACGGACAATTTAAATCACTCAGACAAAAATATATGTTGTAATTCTCCTTTAAACCAGCAGAGGGCGCTCTCTGCCTCCATGTCTGACATCAGCTGAGGCAGCATCACATTTTGTAGGGAAAAAAAGTGAATAGTCAACTAATGAAACATCCCAACATCAGAGCGAGAGAAAGCGAGAGCGAGAGGGATGACATGTGGGAAAGGAGCCACAGGTCGGATTTGAACCCGAGCTGCCTGCTTGGAGGTCCATGGTCCCTGTACTTGGGGCACGTGCACACTACCGACGCCCAATCAGAAATATGAATTTTTAGAATACTGTAAAACTTCAAATAAAAGCTCATCTGGGTACACATAGCTTAATGGTTAGTGCACGCTCCACATCCTAAATGAAGTCGGCTTGGGTCTGAAGTCGACCTGTGGCCCAGCTCGCTCGCCGTCCTGTCTCAAATAAAACGGGACAAAAAGCCCAAACACTCCGATTTAGTTTACTCAATTAAATATTCTTTCTGGCGTTCGTTTACAGTTTTAGTACATTTTCCATCCTTGCTGTCCACGAGTTTAGTTTGTAAATATTTATATTCGGTTCATTTCATAGACTGAGGGAAATAAAACACCTGGGGATATTATTAGAAGGTTTAGGGTAACCTGAAAATAAGTACTTATTTGTTAATAAATCAACTAGAATTAAAAAAAAAAGAAGAAAAAAAGAATATTGGTTAATTTTGTGTTTTTCAGCATTTCAGTTTTTATTAATTATGACCGGAAACTTTCAAACAGAATTTATTTATTGATCTTTACGGAGCGTTATCTCGAAAATGCAAAGAAATGATTCTTCATGTTAGGTGTTTTTGCCTTGAGCGCTGCCTGCAGGTAGAGTCTGCACCAATCAGAGCAGCTCAGCAGGCTCTCTGCATGTCAAGATTAATCAGTATGAATTAACTGCGAGACACCTGAACGCTACACACGCGCGCAAACACACACCTGCGGAGGAAGGAAACGTGTCAAAGGTGCACTTTAAGTTAAAACACGAAAGATTCAGTTTGAAGAGGTTTTTCAAACTTAGTCAAAAGTCTCCGCGTGTAAAGCCTCTCTGTCGCAATTTACCGTTAAGCGTGACTCAGGTGAGCTCTGTGTGTTGTACTTGGGGTTTAGGTGTGTGTGTGTTTGGTGTCTCAGGTGTGTATCCCGTGTCTCAGGTGAGCTGTACAGACCTGGAGGAGAGCAGCGGGCTCTGAACCGTTTCCACTCCGCTCGTTGACATATTTTGCAGTTTGAGTTTGGCGCCTTCTCTTCAGACGGACAGACGCCATCGTTCCTCTTTCACAGCTTTTTAATGAGACGCACCTGAGGGGGGCGGGGCCTGCCGGCGCACTCACCCGGGGCTTCTTCCGGTCCGATGGATCAGATGATGGAGTCACGTGATCATTAAAGGACGATCTTATCTTCATGCATCATCTTCAAGGAGAATATATTAATTAATAAATATTCATCATTTATTTATTACAGCCGTTGAGTCGCAGCAGGTTGTAGTCAGTGTTTTCTTCTTTTTAATAATTTATTTTAATATTAAATATTGTTTAATGAACATAGAGTGCAAAGTGATTGGGTTTACTATAACTTTATATTGACCTGCAGTATGAGAAGAAAAGCACAAACTGTTTACACTGAACTAGTTCTGAAGTTCGAAACGTCCATTTCCACCAGCTCGCCACAGGGGGGCGCTGTTTCCCCTCCTCTTCATCATGTGATCATCTCATTCAACTTTGCTGTCACAAGGACAGATACAAGAAATCTTTCTTACCAAAGGCCATAAACTCTGTACAACAGCTCACCTCATGCGAGCAGAGAACTGTCATCATGATAATATCTGTCTCTCCATACTGTAATCTGTTCTGCACATGTTAAATTTACAAATTATCCCTGCACTCATGTTCACTTCATTTGTCTGTCTACTCGCCGTTATAGTGTATAGTTTCTGCTTATAATATGTCTACACTCATGCACTTTAACTTATATCAGTACTGTCCATTTACTACTCTGTTTTTGAACATTTACATTTAATCTTTTATATTTAATTTACAACCATTTACAACTCTGTTTTTGTACATTTACATTCAATCTTTCATATTTAATCTTCCTATTTAAGAATGTAATGCTTAGTTAAATCCTGGTTGTATATATTCACATTCTTAGTTCTGATATTTTTTGTACTTATTTACTTTGTATTTAATATTATATTGTGTTTAGATTTGCTAGTATTGTGTTTTTACTCATATACCGTATACTCATATATATATATGTAACGCCACAATTTCCCAGTTTGGGATCAATAAAGTAATTCTATTCTCTTCTGTGTAGACTGAAGCCTGCAGCACTCAGGTGGACAGATACCTGCAGCGTGCGACCACGAGGAGACTTCACCTGATCTCGAAACAACGAGCTGATCTTTTACTAGAGACGTGAGAGAGATTCCCTCGTTCATGGGGAAATGTGGAGGTTTCAAAGAAGATAAAAACACATTTATTATCATCACTTCCCTGTGTGTTGGTGTCGGTGGAGACCCGGTACTGCCGCTCCGCTCCTGCAGGCGGCGCTGTTTGATATCAAATCACGACCACTGCCGTATTCTGACACAGAGGGAACAAGATGGCGTCCGGCAGCGGGGTGAGTTATGTGTCTGATCCTGTTTCATGTGTTTAAAATATAAAAGTAGTTTAATGATTCGTGGTTTTAGATTCAGCTCCGTTGTGTCCGTTAACCGGAGCTGCTAACCGGTCTGAGCTAACCCGGGTTACGTTAAATCACCGGGTTAGCAGGCGGGACAACAGCTAGCTGCTAAAGAACAATGTTACCCAGTCTCTGTTAAACCATGTTTATTAAACGAAGCTTGTTCAATTATGTATCTTATCGACGTTTACCGAGGACTTAAATACATCTAAAAACGTATTCTGGGCTGTTTTTAATCTGCTGCCTTGTTAACACGGAATGCTAAATGTTAGCCTGTGTCCCGTTAGCATAATCAACAACAAGACTTCCGGTCATGTGACGGCACATTTAAGAATGTTATTGATACACAGAGTATAAAAACAACTATCAACATCATTCACATTGAACACAAATTAATAAACATTATTAAATAATGTTGAGAAAAACAACAACATGAAGAATTTTAGATACATCAGCTTCTTTAAATACCAGAGAGACTAATGATGTGCAGAGCTTCTGCTGTCTCACTGAACACACTCTGCAGGGATTAATGAACTTATAAACATGTTCAGTTGACAGTGATGAACTCTGAACCTCTGAGCTGAGGACAGCAGGTTGCACTCTGGATGTAGAACATGTGACGGTGTCGGTACCAGGTGTGCTCGAGGTTCTTCTTCCTCTGTGTGATGATGCAGATGTTTTATTTACATGACGTGTCGACTGCTTTGCTTTCTTCTTCTCTTGTAGTCCAGTAAGAACGACTTCCGTCGGAAGTGGGACAAAGACGAGTATGAAAACCTCGCTCAGAAACGTCTGGCTGAGGAGCGAGACCGAGAGCGGCGAGATGGTGAGGAAATAAAACAACAACATTTTATCACTGTTACACCTGTGTCCGACAAACGATCCACACACAACCAGGAACCTTAAAACTTGAATATGAATCTGGTCTAAATCAAACGTCATGCACAGATATGTTGGCGACGTTTGGTCAAGATGAAGGACAATCTAGATTTTTTTTTCTCCCTCTGAAGAGTTTTTACCCTTTAAAACACGTTCTTTACTTTCTTCTGCTCAGGTGTTTGTCTAGTTTTTGTTTTGGTCCGAGCTTCACTGTCCGCTGTTTTTACACAAGTGTTAGGATGAATGTCGCCTGTGATTGACTCTCTCTCGCTCTCTCTCTCTCTCTGTCTCTCTCTCTCTCTCTCTCGCTCTCTCTGTCTCTCTCTCTCTGTCTCTCTCTCTCTCTCTGTCTCTCTCTCTCTCTCTGTCTCTCTCTCTCTCTCTCACATAGGGAAAATTGCGCCCCCGGTCAAGCGGGACCTCCTGCGTCACAGAGACTATAAGGTGGATCTGGAGTCCAAACTGGGGAAGACCATCGTCATCACGAAGACGACTCCTCAGGCCGAGATGGGCGGGTACGTGTCATGATGGTACTAACAGGGTCATGTGACACAGATGGAGTCACGACAAACACGGGGAGAAATGTTCACGATTTTAAGGATATTCATGAAGCGTTTATCAGACCGCTCAGCTTCCTCTCTCTGATTGGCTGCCTTCTTCTTCTCTAACAGTTATTACTGTAACGTGTGCGACTGTGTGGTGAAAGACTCCATCAACTTCCTGGATCACATCAACGGGAAAAAACGTGAGTTCACAGCGATGAAGACCAGATGTGTTTGTGTGTGTGTGTAACTGTTTTTGTGTGTGTGTGTGTAACTGTTTTTGTGTGTGTGAGCAGACCAGAGGAACCTGGGCATGTCGATGCGGGTGGAGCGCTCGTCTTTGGATCAGGTGAAGAAGCGCTTCGAGGTGAACAAGAAGAAGATGGAGGAGAAGCAGAAGGAGTACGACTTTGAGGAGCGAATGAAGGAGCTGCGTGAGGAGGTGAGGACCCAACCGCTAAGCCATCTGCACCCTATTGAAAGAACAATATGTAACTCTGACACCTAGTGGTTAAAATGGATACTGCAGTCTAAATTCTAAACATTGTAGAGAGCTGTCTCCCCCCTCCTCTCTAAAGTTGATGCTCACACAGGTTGCCATGTGGTGGTCACTGAAGCTTCAGTGTTTATCCAGCTCTGCATCAGTCTATAAACCTTTCTGTGTTCTAACCTCTCTCCATTTTTCAAAAGCATCTCCAATATTGATCCTAGTTTGAGCACGTTTCTGCTCGTGGAGCTTATTAGAAACATGCAGAGGCTTTTTAGGTCGGGTACAATCACTTCTATCTGAACCAGTTCTCTTGCCGGGAGGGAGGAGTTGGCAAACGCCAAGTAATCAAAGCTAACAGGCTCAGAGCCTGTGGCTAATTCATTAACTGCTAATGAGAGATTTAACCATCATGTTTCCCACCGAATGAGAAGCTGACCAGTTTATTTACCAGAATACAGAAGCTCACAGAGCTGCTTAACATTTGGTTACTAATTTATTATATTACCTTTAAGAGGGCTCTATGGGGACTGACTCACTGCAGGAGACAGACTCTAGTGGACACTGGAGGAACTGCAGTTTTTGGTACTTAAACTCAGGAAGAGTTTGGTGATGATGACAGGGTCCTTGTACACAAAGAAATCTCCACAATATAAAAAAAACCCATTCAACATAAAATGACAATTTTTCTTTTTTGTCATACTCTTATCTTATCTGTCTTGTATCTATTGAGTTGTATTTATATCAAATGTGTTTTCCCCTCTAAATTAATTTAGTTTTTGCAACAAACAACTTTAATCTGCTCAATTTATGCTCGCGCACAGACATAAACAACAACAGGAGTACGCCTCGCGTTTTGAAAAGTTCCACTCGATATTCCGTTATAGTTCAGCACTGAAACACCAGCAAGCAGCTGAATATCTGTTAATGTAGGCCTACATTAACAGATATTCTGTTATTTATTGGAGTTCAGCACAATCTGCAGCAAGCAGCTGTACATAACGGAGCCAGGAGAAGCTTCAGTTTTTGATGCATGTACGGACAGTCGCTCTCTCTCTCTCTCTCTCTCTCTCTCTCTCTCTCTCTCTCTCTTGCCATCTTAACACTCCGCAGGAGTTGAGCGGGATTTTAAAAAAAAGGTAGTTTTGCTATGTTATACGCAGACAGTTATAATAAAGCGGCTCTGGTTGCACGAAGCCTGCGGAGCGCGCGCCTGCACTCTCTCGCACGCTCTCTCTCTCCCTGCTACCTCTCTTTGAATAAATGAAAAATTAAATGAGAACAGGTCGGAAATATACTTGGGCCCAGTCGTCTTTGTGTGGGAAACACTGGAGACTAAATATTTTCAAACAGGTTGTTGGTATAAAGTTGTCATTTTTATTGTGCTCTACTTTTTTTTGATTTGGGCAAATGTGAGAGTTGTGTGGAGTTTAAGTGCCAGTTCTAGCGCTAGCCCTTAGTAGTTCTATAGTGTGGCTGCCAACAGTCAATAATAAATAACCTCCTGCGTAAAATGTGTGTAGAAATAGGCCTACAGTGTATTTTAACATCTACCATAATGGTGGTACTTGGAGAGCCAAATATTTTCGGAGGTGGTACGCAGTCTAAAAAGTTTGAGAACCACTGTCCTAAATGAATTCACAATCAGATATAATAGAGCTCTGTTGTTAATGTGTTTGTGTTTGTGTGTGTGTCAGGAGGAGAAGGCGAAGGCCTATAAGAAGGAGAAGCTGAAGGAGAGGAAGCGGCGTGCGGAGGACGACGTGGACTTCGAGGAGGACGACGAGATGGCGGCTGTGATGGGGTTCTCGGGTTTTGGCTCATCCAAGAAGGGTCACTGACGCTCTGCAGCCCGACTCCAACGTGCCAACCACGGCGCTCCAAGACAGGAACCTGGTTTTATCTCCGCCCCCTCAGTCAGCTGGACTTTGAGACCAGAACGGGGATGGAGGAGCTCTGCTGCAGCTGATACTCCACACTCCTGGTTCAGAACTTTTTCCTTAAAATATTCCTTTTATCTACATCCGGGCTCCTTCTTTCCGGTAGTTTGATCCTCGACTCTGTCCTTTCTGAACCCAGCAGGTAAAGATGAGACAGGAAGTCCATATTGAGCTGATTGTGTACGCAGGAAGCAGAGTGAAAAACGAGACTATGACTGCAGATCAATGGTTTAGTTTCCAGTAGTAACACCCTCCCAACATGGAAGTTTTTTAACTAAGTTTGGATATAAATCATTGAAGAGTTTCAACGACTTAATTTAAGAAACGAGCGACTTTAAACTCCGACCTCGTAGAGTTTAGTTTGATTGTCTGAACTCGTTCGTTGTTTGTTTGGGGAATTCTTGTTGTAATAAACATCTTTTTTTTAAATAATTGGTAGTTCTCATTTTTTCCGACACTGTTTGTGTCAGTGAATGCATCACAAAAAACACTGCAGTAAAGTGACGAAGCAGAAAGCTCATCAAATGTTCCTCCAGGTAAAGTTTGATCAGTTGAATGAAAGTCTCAAATATTCTTTCTTTTAAACCTCTCGTACGTGTAAGCATCCGGCTGTGGTGCGAACGTAAATGTTCAAAAGGCTGTTGCTAAATGCCAACTTGATCTGTTTACCTTTATTCAAAACCTTCCTCCACTGTCTCATCACCTTCGGCTCTACACTGCCCCTAGTGGTTATTTGCATATTGCATCTCTCGGACGCGTAGCATTCATTTCTGAGGATGTGCACAACGCCCCAAACCGACGCAGGTAACGCAGGGCTGTTGTCATGAGTTCATGTAGTTTAAAGCAAGTATACTCAGGTCTTAAGACAGGACCAACCTTCAAAATAAAAGCCTTTTTATTTGGAAAAGTGAAATAATGGAATATCAAACATACGATTCAAAATTGTAAACGTTTGTTGCCCTTATCTTGAGTAAAACTTTCAAACAAACAACAACACACAAATGTTGTTGTTTATTGTTTGTTGTTGTTATGGATGAATTAACTTCCAAACTCCATTCGATCTTCAGAGTCCCTCTGCACCTTTAAGAAAAAGCTAAAGACCCAGCTCTTTCATGAATACCTACTAACTTAATGATGATGGTCTCCATATTATTGATGATGATGATGGTAATGATGATGGTTTTTGTTTGATAACGACAACTTCTAAGATGGTTTCTATATTGATTAGAGCTCTCAAGAACTGCCGTCAATGTTGTGCTTTGCCTCTGGTCACTTCCTGTCAGCACCTGTGTGTCCAATCAGACTTAAAGCTGATCATTTGCTCTTACTGACATTGTTCCCTTTTTTGTAGATCCTTGCTTGTGTTGTACTTACTCTCTGATGTACTCGCTTTGCATAAAAGCGTCTGCTAAGTGAACTGTAGAATTGTTATGGGTTGTTGCCATGGTTGTTCAGGAAGTCGTGTTGTTGGTGAAGCCTGAACAGACTTTATTCTACAGGAAGAAGAAGAGGAAGTTCAGTTCTTTTAGACCAGACGGCCTGCAGAGCTCACACACACACACACACACAAGGACACACACGGACAGACACACTCACACAAACACACACACACAGACACAAACACACACATACACATACACACACACACACACACACATACACACTCACACAAACACCACACTCACACAAACACACACACAGACAGACTGAATGTGGAAGTGAAGTCGTGTGAAACTGGACTTCTTCAGGCTGCAGCCACGTCCTTACTGTTAGCACTGAGCGTCACTTCTGCATGTGGTGATTTATTTTGGCGTGTGTGCTCCCAGAATGCACCTCTTCCATCAGTGTCCTAGTCATCACGTCCAAGGCGGCGCTATAAATCCAGCTGTGAGGGTTCGGCTGGTCGAGGTAAACGTGTCACATGATCTTGACTTTTATCAGACTCCGTTTTAGATCAGCTGGACGTGTGACATCACCGCCAGCGTGACTGACGGAGGAGGAAGGAGGCGAGGGCATTTCCTGTGACAGTTAAAAAGATCAAGTTAAATAAGCTGAAAGGTCACAAAGAAGGAGGTGATACAGGAAGAGAAATGTCTAAGAGAAGGTTTTCACCTGCTGCTAGTCAACACCATAGCACACCTTCAGCGGGAGGAAGGTGGAAAAGAAGACCTGGACAGAAGCGTCCTCATGGGGGCGCCGCAGAGCAGAAAGCGAGTCGAACAAGCTCCAACACACTCAAATGATCCAGCAGGTCTTTATTTTCTACACTTCCAAAACCAAACACACAACCTTCCTTCACTCTGAGCATCCTACAGTTCAGAGTTAACACACGACCAGAACTTTAGACTCCTGTTTGTTACCATGGCAACCAAAATATTTGTCCTAGACACCCGTACGGGGTAATCTTCAGTTTTTAGGCATCCAAACTTCTGACTAAGCTCAGCCGTCGTCAATTATTTGTTCATTCATATTGATTCTGCAACAGCGTGATATTGGCGTCCCAGTCTGTTTCTGCGTTGAGGAAGCACGGCACACACACACACACAGCGCTGTTCTCCCCCGTCGGCTCAGCTGATCCTGTCTCTCCTCTCTTACACTCTGAAGACGGTACAGAGGGGATGTGGGGGGTCACTTTGTCCCCCCATTACGCCCCTATGACATTCAGACTGAAGGCGAAACTGCTCCCTTCACGACCTCTCTGAACAGTCCTAACATCCCACAGTCTGTAAACGGCTGTATGAAGGATGTTTCTGTGAAAACTAAAAATGAGTAGAAATCACGTCTTTTTGCATCGATGGCCCTCCGCTGCGAATGACTTTTTTCATTTCTAAATGAACAGATGACGAGACAGAATAATATCCTAATCATTTATAATTCTGAGAGAACAGCGCAGTGAAACCGTCTCTCCTCCTTCTGAACGTTTGAGTGAAAGTGTAAATCGGCAGAAAACAGAAACCCAACACCTGAAAGGCACCAGTGATCCCCTCCATCAGTCTGAACGCCACTGAGGTGGTTGAACGCACTGATGGAAACGGTTAATGTGACCTGAGCTCCAGGATGAAGGTGAAGCTGCAGAGATCAGATTATCTCTCTCTCTGTCTCTGTCTCTCTGTCTCTCTCTCTCTCTCTGTTTTTAAGTGTACATCGTAGAGCTGCAGAGAGCGGCTGCGGCTGCAACTGCAACGTCTGTTCCGCTCTGTGGTCACACTTCATCACCCCCCCTCCTCTGCACAGTCACTTCCTCTGAGAGAAAGAGAGAGAAGGGGAGGAAAGAGAGGCAGATACTGACAGATAGAAAGAGGGGAAGAAGTAGAGAGAGAAAGAGAGAGAGAGAGAAGGAAGCCATTTTGGTTCCTTGGTGTCATGTCGGCCTGAACGTCGCTTCGTTCTTTCTGTCCTCTTCGCTGAAAACTCTCAGACTGTAAGAGAGCTGTGAGCTGATTGGAGGAAGTCGAACTTTCTGAAGACAGCTGACGGTTATTTTTTTTTGGAGACAATTTCAGAGAAGTTTGGTTCGTGCTCAGCAGGAAGGAGTAGTGAGGATCGAGGCCTGCCCACATGCCACAGAGTCAACGGCCAACTGAAGACAAGAAGCAGGAAGACAGAAGTCCTCAGCAGGCGTTTGGTGATGGTCGCCTCGGTCTGTTAGAGCAGAACGTTTGGGTTTGACATCAGCTGGACGGACAGACATCGAGTCTCTGAGAGGGTTTGGAGGGCACAGGATGAGCTCAGACCGAGTGCCATCCAGGTTGGAGGTGATGGGGTGGAGCTCTCAGGAGCTGGCAGACTACCTGAAGAAGGTCAGACATCCATCCATCTACCCTCCCCTCCCTCTCTCTCTCGCTCTCTCTCTCTCTCTCTCTCTCTCACTCTCTCTCTTTCTCTAACTTCCTTTATTTCTCGTCCTCCTCTCCAGCTGCAGACACACAGACACTTGTCTCAGCAGCTTCGAGACTCAGAACTTTTCGGTAGAATTATTAAAACCAAAGAAATCGCTGTAGTCCGATGTGCACCGTTTGACCAATGGCGAGATGTCCTGACAGAGCTTACCTCTGATTGGATGGAGAGCAGGCGAGTCAAACATGGAGGAGGCTGTTGTAGCGTTTTAGCTTCAGAGTAACATCACACAGATATTTTGCTCACTGTGAGCTCTGATTCAGTCTCAGTATTGATGTTGAATCTGAAGTTTCTGGACCGGTTCACTATCAGGAGGTTCTGGTTTGTTTGTAGTTCAGAAAAAACGGCACACAAGTCTTTTAGGTAGCATTAGCTGTACACAGAAAACCAGTCAGCTATGCTGTAATCCTGGAGCACATCAGGGGTTAACTTGTTATGGACACTACGACGAGATACGCTATGACATGATACGATAAGATATAAGTTCTGATAAAACGATACAAAATGATACCGCTTGATTCAATGTGAAACGATCATCTGGCGTTCTATGCAGAAGTTTAAACAGGTCAGATGAGAGCTGAAGAGCTCCAGGATTACGCCCCTATGGATGTGTTTGGACTCTTCTGTTTTTCATGTTTTCCTCCTCACAGAGGATAGAACTCCTCTACAGATAAATTCATGAATTCATGTTTAGAATCTGTGATCAAGATTCATCCTGGTTCACTTCCAGAGTCTGCTTGAAGGTTAAAGAGAGGACGCAGGTCTGTGAGACAGAGTCCACCTCGCTGCTCTGCCGTCACGCCTGCTGTGGAAGTAACAGAGGCAGGGGGCGTGTCCAGAACGATGTCCAAGGGGTGGCATGGGGCCCTTTGAAATCTGATTGGGCACCCCAGGCGCAATCACAAAATCCTAAACTATGATTGGCTATTTGCCCTGTCAAAGGCGGGACTTAAATTCCAACTAAGTGTTCAGGTTGTGTTAGTAGTTGCCTTGACATGTGAATGCAACATTTTTTGTTTTGTTAGTCCTTTGAATTGAAAATCAACGCTTTTCATGTTTATTTCATAAGACAGGGGCGAAGGAAAGAAAGGAGTCTATAAAAAATAAAATCCTCTTCTCCATGTTCCTCTAACTCTAATCTGTGTCTCTAGTCTGTCTCAAACCCCCCAATGATGAAAAAAGTCCATCCTCTCTGTCTTTTCCCTGCTCCACTTTTCAGAAAATGTGTGCTCAAACAGGCCGATTGGAGATTTTCCCTTCATGACATCACAAAGGGCAGTAACCCCTCCCCCAGGTGGGTGACACTCCCACAGCTAGGTGTTTGTTCTGCCCTCTGAGTCTGTTCTCTCACTGTAAACAATAGGACATGGAGCGAGACACCCAAGCCCTTCCAGTGAGGGGGCGTGGTCAGACACAGCTCATTTACATATTTAAAGGTACAGACACAGAAACAGCCTGTTCTGAGCAGGGCTGAAATAGAGGGGTTTATAGACATGATCAAATACAGGATCAGAGTGGATTTAGAACAAGACACTTCACAGACATGTTTTGAGGAGCTCTGAGACTTATTTACACTGGTTGAAGAGGAGGAGGATATGTGACCTTTAAACTCAGAAGATTTACATGTTGTCATGCTCTTGTTTAAGGGTCAGTTACGTTCTTCAGGTGTGCACGTGCACTTTATGCCTGCTTACGGTAAGTCAGGGCCCCAGTTGGACCACCCGAGTCAAAAAAGTCTGGACCCCCCCCCCCCCGAACAGAGGGATTATTGTAATCCAGCTCTTTGATTCTTTTCAACACTACCTGCAGCGAGACATCTCTGTTATTTTAATGATTGATATTATGAAGTTTTTTTTACAGTAAGAGACAGGTGTTCAGGAGAGGAGTGAATCCGTCTCAAACTGCACACTGATTTAACATTACCATACCTGTGGTGTGTTTCAGATGAATCTATCCGGCTGTGATAAAGTCGTGATGAAGAACTCCATCACCGGATCCAGATTTGTGGTGAGTTCACAAACAAACATTTATGCTTGGACAACAGAGAGAGGAGAGGAGAGGAGAGGAGAGATAAGGAGATATGAAAGGAGATGAGGAGGTATAGAAGGAGGTAAGGAGATATGAAAGGAGAGGAGTCAGTTGTTGAACTTGACATCTCGTGTTTTTTTTAGAATCTGAGTGAAAACGACCTGCAGAAGTTCCCGAAGCTTCACGCTCCGTAAGTTTAAACTTTATTTATAACTCTGTTTGTGGACAGGTTTGAATAAACTTTATTTATAACTCTGACTGTGGACAGGTTTGAATAACCTTTATTTATAACTCTGTTTGTGGACAGGTTTGAATAACCTTTATTTATAACTCTGTTTGTGGACAGGTTTGAATAACATTTATTTATAACTCTGTGTGCTGACAGGTTTGAATAACCTTTATTTATAACTCTGTTTGTGGACAGGTTTGAATAACATTTATTTATAACTCTGTGTGCTGACAGGTTTGAATAACCTTTATTTATAACTCTGTTTGTGGACAGGTTTGAATAACATTTATTTATAACTCTGTGTGCTGACAGGTTTGAATAACCTTTATTTATAACTCTGTTTGTGGACAGGTTTGAATAACCTTTATTTATAACTCTGTGTGCTGACAGGTTAATCTTAAAGATCAGCACAGAAATCAGCAAAAAGGAGGAGAAACGAGGACTTTTACGATTTGGTAAAAGGTATATTTTCTAAATCTTTTTACTTATTTTAAAACAAATGACACAAACACAGTTAATCTAGTGATTGAATGTTTGCATCTAAATAATATAAGGTTTGTTTTTTACAGAGCAACTCCCAAAAGTCATGAACCAGGTAGGAACTGTTCTTTACAACATAAATATTATCTAATTTCAAATATTGTGCTAAATATAGTTAATATGTTTTATAACATTATATAAATCTTATTTCTACATCTTTGTTATATTTCATCACACTTTGATATCTTGTTGTTTTTGGACATGATATAGTAATCATAGTTTTACATGAAAAGAGACAAAAATCCCTTTCATCATGTCATAAATGATTTTGTTCTTTTGCTTTGATGGTATTTGTAATGTGAACAACACGACGTTATGACTTTATATTAAACACATGGTGGATTACTCTGCTTTTAAAACTTTTAATTAATCCTTTCTTTTTTAGTTTATTGACATCAGATTCCACTTTTGTAGGTTTCTGTCTCTTTGTTTTATCTGTTATTATTTTCTGTTTCTGCTCAATCGTTAAAGATCTTAATCTGAGTCGACATGTTTATGTGTTAATGAGCTGCTAAAGTTCTGTCTCCTCGTCTGCAGACACCTGTGCTGACGTTCAGGGCTGGGGAGAAGACGAGTTTGTACGTTCGGCCGCCTTTCTTCTGTTTTTTCCACTTTTGTTTTCATTTGAACAAAAAAAATGCTCTGACCCTGTCGGGGAATTTCCAATTTGTGCAGCTTTATTCCAGAAAAAGTTGCTGTTTTAAAGGTTTCAGCCTCTTTTTACATTTGGTCTTCTCATCCTTCTAAAGCTAAATGAGATAAATGAACCCTTCTCTGACGGGCTTAAACATGTCATCTTTATAAATACTATAGAGCCTGGTTGTAGGATGTTCCTCCCGGCGGTTTGGTTGTTCCTCGGTGATTCAGGGTTGTTGGTTGGTGGTTTTCAGGTTGTTGTGGGTTCTATCCTTGAATAATTTCCTCCATCCATCCCTCATCATCCACCTCTCTGTGTCCTCCGCTCTGTCAGGATGATGAAGATTTCGATGATGACTATGAGAGTCCGTACAGTGGTGAGGAGGAGGGCAGCGGCGGGGACTATGAATCCCCAAACGAGGACGCGGCCAATGATTATGAGCCACCTCCTACCGAGCCTCCCGAGGACTTGCCTCTCAAACTGTGCAGCACCCTGCCCATGGGAAACAGCGATTACGTTGGTAACCACCAGGGGGGGCTCTGACTCTCTGATGTTACTGTATGATACACTTTAATGTTTGACATCTAGTTCTTATTCAGACATGAGAAATGAAAAGACACGACACATTACCACATGACATGACATCGATCCTTGGAGGAAATTGTCATGGAATCCAAGCTCTGCACACATTTAGCTGCCTCCCTGTTAGAAAAACAATAGAAACAAGAAGCCACATGTAAACAGAGACATAAACAACAGGAAGCACGTTGCACAAAACTCCTGTGTCGTAAGAATAACACAGAAATGTTATAAATAAAACACACCAAGACACGTTACACAACTCCCACGGCCTCAAGAAACATTGTTCATAAGATTTATCACATTTTTATAAGTTTCCCTCAAATCGAATAAATGTTTTCATCCACTTGGGAAGAATGATATTAATGTGTGTGTTTGTAGATAACAGAGATAACCATATATCATCCAGAGGCCCGCCTCCTGCTCTGAGTCCCCGCCCCCCTGTAGCCTCCCTTTCTGCACCGTCTCCCCGCATGGTGAGTCTCTGTCTTTCTTTCTCTGATCTCTGGTGAGTCTGGTTCTGTTCAAGGTTTCTACCTGTTAGAGGCAGAGTCAGTCAAATGTTTGCAAACATTCAAACTGGGCCCCTCCTCCTGGGCTCATCTTCCTCAGAAGCCCCACTCACTGCAGGACGTAGTGTGTATGTTTACTGCTTGTACCTACACTGCGAACTAATGCACGCTTGCACAAGCTAACTGCCGGTGTTTGTCACCTGCCTGTCCAACAGGAAACAGACCAACTCCACGTCCACGAGTAAAAGACAACACAAGGTTCACCCTTTTTTTTCCAACGAGCTTTATCCACTTGGTGTTTCTCCTCACTCTGATTATATTTTCTCTTCTTTGCTGCTACGTCCACGTCCGTCATATTCACCACTTTGAATCTCGTCCAATCACTGAATTAGATCCACTCCTAAACTCACCTGCTGCGCTGTCATTGGCTGGAGGAAACACACCAACTCCACCCAGAAACATTTGTTTCTGCTCCGCGTGTTCTTCTCCCCTCTCTAGTTCATACTGTGAATGTCTGTACACACATAGTAGTGATGTGAAAAGCAGTTCTTTTCAGTGACTGAATCAGTAGAATCAGTTCAGTAAAGTGATTCGTTCAAAAGATTCGTTCACCGAATCGTTCAGTACTTCTCTGCAGCTCTGTCTGTGAATCAGAATTTAATAAGCTGAAACACGGCAAAACGTTTAGTTCTGCTCGCGATCGTACTGAGAACAGCAGGTGGTGAATAATAAACTAATGAGCTGAGAATTTAGTTGGATAAAGTTACAGTTTGCAAACTGAAAGTTGCTAAAACAATCACATTTATTTTCCCCGACCGTTCTGTTCAGTACGTTCAGTACACGAATCACTCACTGACTGTCTGACTGAGAGGAAGAGAGAGGAGGCGGAGCTCTCGTTCACTGAACGAACTGAACGAGAACTCCGCGTCCGAGTCTCTCTCTTCCTCTCAGTTCGTTCAGTGAACATGAACGAGCGAGACTGCGAGTCACCAGCCTCAGTCACACACACACACACACACACACACACACACACACACTGTACTGACTGAAACACGATGGTTAGTGGATGTTAAAACAGTCAGCTGAGTGAAATTGAGTTGGATATAAAAGCCGTTTGTAAACTGACAGCAGCTATAAAAAGCACATACATTTTCGCAACACCTAAATGTTAAATAATATATTTTCTACTTCCTCAATTTTGGAGACATGAGAGGGATAAGTAGGGGCGGGCTTTAGTGAACAGAGCTCCCGACCGACTCCGTCCTGTTGGCTCAGTCAGTAGGTATCACTGACATGAAAGGGAGAGGGAGGGCGGGCTTTGAGCGACTCTTACGGTCTAGAGAGAGACACGAGACGGGAGAGAGGAGAGCGCAATGAAGTTGAGAAATGAACGACTCTTTTCAATAAGTGATTCAGTTCAGTTCCTTCACCCAGATGATTCGTTCGTTTTGAATGAATCGTTCATGACCGACACATCACTAACACATAGCATTAGCAGAATGGAAAACAGACATCATAACATCAAACTTTGCTTCCTTGTCATCTTGGATTTCCGCCGCATCTCATTTTAATTTTTTTACAATTCTTTATTTAGAGGATGGTTGAGAACAATTTACAGACAATTAGCCATGCAGTTACAGAAGGTATAAAGGGTCCACAGTGAAAGTCTGCAGCAAACATCTAGATAATCTTGAGACCATTTTCCTCCTTAACATCATCAAGTTTTTTCTTTTTTTTAACAATATGTACCTTATTACTCTATAACTGTATACAGTCTGTAAAGAGGGATGTGTCGTTACATTTATTTTCTTTAATATGTAGGGCGACAGTTCAACATGTTTTCAAAGCGGAGGGCCCAAGAGACAGAAAACAAAGTACAGGAAAACAAAACACCTTATGCATGATAAACATACAAGACATCAGTACACATACACATGTATGCATGAGAATAACAACATCAACGTTAAAGTATCTGTTAATTGACCAATTCTGGGAAGTGTGGCCGTGACAAACGTACATGCGAGACCCATCTAGACCATAATTGCTTAAATTTATCCATTTGTAAACAAAGTGAGAAGGTAATTTTTTCCATAACATAGATTTAATTGACTGTATCCTCCCACTCCTCTGTCATGGGGGGGTCAGGGTGTAGCCAGTGTCTAGTTATAGTTTTTTTTACAGGCAGTTATCAGAATGCCAAATAGGTAAACATTGAAGTGACCAGCAATATAGTCAACTTTCCCAAAAAAATAAGTACTAAACTCAGATGGTATTTTCTTTGTAAATTTGACTTCCAGAGTGTTGTGGATCATTGACCAGACATTTCTAATTGTTTGACAGTCCCAAAATATGTGCCAATGGTTAGCATCTTGGCTCCCACATTGTTTCCAGCATTTTGGATCCTCTCCTGTGAAATAAGATTTTTGTTTCGGGGTGATAAAAAACCTAACCAGACACTTCCATCCAAATTCTCTCCATGTATGTGAGTTAGTACATTTCCACTGAAAATCACAATAGTTGTGCCATTCTTCTTTTGAAATAGTGAAACTGCCTTCTTTTTCCCATTTGTTTTTTACATATTCTGTTGAATGTGATTTTTTTTTCATAAAGCCTTTATATAGTCTGGATATGAAACCTCTTTTTAATTGTGATTTGTAGGCTCCTATAAATTATTATAATTATTATAAAGTCCTGTTGTTCAAGGGCATATTTTCTCTTCAAAGTCTGAAAATCCATCAAGTGTCCCTCATCAGTAACTGAAAAGAGTGTGGTTATTCCTTTACTTGTCCAGTCTTTAAATCTGGAGACCAGTTGGTTAGGTTTAAAATCATGGTCATAGGCACACAGTCTTACTAGTCGTATTTTATCTTGTAAATAATAGTCTTCCTTAACAGCTTTCCAGACTTTCAGTTGGAATCTAATCCAGGAGTTCTGTATGTTATCTATGGTTTTTTTCCGAAATCATCTTTAGCAAGTACTGTCTGGATTGGATGGTTCTTAGTCAATGAGAGCGCTGCGTCTCTTTTATACATCCTGTCTCCACTAAGAGACCTTTCTTCTAAGCATTTTAAAGAGTGCATGTGAGAAAACAGCTTTAGTAGATTTGGTTTGAGGTGATTTTAAACATTGTAAACATGAATCAGCTGTCACTCGACCTCTCTCTGCCTCTTTCAGCCAGGTGAGTCGCCCGCCAGGAGAGACCCCTCCCCCTCCCCTCTTGGCGGCGGACAACCATCAGGAAACTGTAAGTAACAGGAAGCTGCTCCTGTCCACACAGGAAGCACTCTGTTGTTGTGGTAACGGTTCATGACGTGTGCATCTGTTGTTGTGTCCAGTTCCTCCTGGGCCTCCGCAGATCTTTCGTAGAGACAAACCGGGTAGAAATGCAGGATCCACCCCGTCCCCGAACAGAGGTAACCCTGAACGAAACATGACAACGATCACCTCTGTAGGTTTTATATCATTTAATCACTTTATTTTAACTTTTTTAATCACTTAACTAAACCTCAATCTGTTTACAGATTCATTTATCTCACTCGTTTGGTTTCATTTCATTTGAATTTAAACCCGAGAGGGGTGGTGTGGGCCCTCCTAGAACTTTTATTGCCCACCCCAGGTGCCATCCCAAAATCCTAAACTATGATTGGCTATTTGCTCAGTGAGAGGCGGGACTTCAGTTAAAATCAACTATTAGGTTTTTTTTTGCAGAGACTGCTCGTATGTTTCTTTACTTATCAGTGCAGCGTATTTTATTTTGTTTGTACTTTAAATTGTAAATAAAACTTTGCACAGTACAGGTGTACGGGAAAGTAATGCACTCAATGAACTAACTGGCCATATGTCGGCACCAAAACATTAGAAGTTAGACTGTGCTGGAGTTTGCATGGACATTTTTAAGTAAGTCATTAAAACATTAAGCTAATGTTTACAATGTTTACATTAGCTTATCTTGTGTTATAAAGTAGATATTATTGGTGAGGTTAGAAAGGGTAAATAATTGATATTTATTTGTGTGTGTGTGACATCACACTACCCCTGCAGAAGTCGGGGCCTCAGTTTGGTCACCCCAGTCCAAAAAGTCTGGACACACCCCTGGTGTTATATTATATTTATCTGAAAATATCTTCATGTGTTTTGTGCTTCTCTTTCTTAATGTTTCTTGAAGACGAAGACGATATAATATGGTTACCTTAAAATCAAATATTAACCTCGACAGGAGCTCAGGGCAGAAACGACAGACGATAACAACAACAGAGTTAAAGGATTAAAATCAAACTGAAGAGTTAACCTTTCTATTATAAGTTTTTATCTATTCATTTGATAGGCTGATGTTTTAAGCACTTTAACATGAAGTCTTCTGTTGTTCACAGGACCTCATCGCAACACAGTGAACGCAGAGATAACACAATAATTAAACATTAAATCAAACTGAAGAGTTAACCTTTCTATTATAAGTTTTTATCTATTCATTTGATAGGCTGATGTTTTAAGCACTTTAACATGAAGTCTTCTGTTGTTCACAGGACCTCATCGCAACACAGTGAACGCAGTGAGTTTTTAAAGTGGATTTTATTTCACAATAATTAAACAATCTCATTATATGGAGCAGTGTTCAGGTGGAATCATTTTATTTCGCTTAAAGTGATCTCTAACTTTTATAAATCTGGCATTAATTTATTCTAAGTGGGTAATTTGTACACAGCCCTAAGTGGAAGAAGCTGATTTTCAAATATAGATCTACGACGTTGTCTGTTACAGTTTCACTTACATTTAATCCAATTCTATGATTAAGACAGAAAAACTAAAACTTAACAGGATCGAGAACAGAACCCTGAGGAACTCCTGATGCTCAACAGACACAAATAAGTTCTGTGTAACATGAATTTAGTCTAAACTTTTATTCTCTTATTGTTTTATTGTTTCTCCTTCTTATAGCCTGGGGCACATTCATGGAGGTAAGAATACAATCACTAACTCACACTTATGAGAATTACACTGATAATCAACCAGAGAGCATCGACAGGAAGATTTTTACACAGTAATAGATTAATCTCAGTTTGTATCATACGCAAAATAAAAAAACCATAATTTTAACTCTAATCCCCAACTTTGCCTTTGTAAAAACTGATTTAAAGGGCGATAATGAGGATAAATTACAAAATGTACAGGCAAAAATAAAATCAGGCATTTTGTAATTCAGATAGCACATAACATCAGATGTGAATTAGTTTCAGACTGCAGATTCTTTATTATATTTTGGGGAACTAACCCCCGTGTCCCACAAGGGTTATTTCTGGATCCATTTCCATTAACATGTTCCATTAAAACTATTGTTGCTGTAACACGGCCTTTAATATCAGATTTTGTGCAGACAATACTATCTTCTATCTATCTGGCTCTTCTCCATTAAATACTGAATAAGTGCATCATCCCACCTCTATGACATGTGTAAGCAAATAAAAGAGGTTCTAAAGTGCAGTTCAGACAATATTCCAATAATGTTAACATCATTACATGCCACTGGGGAGAAGTATTCTAAGATATCTTTCTATGGGGCCCTTAATACCTGGAGGTGCCCCTGTACACACCTAACCATGAAGTGCCATCTGTCGGTTTATCTGTGAAGGTTGAACACAGCCAACTAAACTTTGTCCCTTCAGATATGCAAAAAAAGGAAATGTGTCTTGGTTAATAAAGCCACTATCACAGAGGAGATTTGTAAAATGTCTGAATGTAACAACTTTCAAATGGCTTGTTTGTTATGGAGTTTATGATGTAACCCCATAACGTACAGAGAATATCAAATGTGTGACGCTTTCATGACACAGTTGTGTGTTTCTGTTTGTTTTTAGGGCTCAGCCCGAAACCCCCGATCCTCCTAACTGGTCCAAACCTCCTGTTCTACCTCCTCCCTCCACGTCTATCGGCAGGAGTAACTCCTCTGCCAGAGCTCCTCCCAACAGGTCAGCATCATTGGCTGTATATAAATATGGAACTCTGTAAGATGGTCAAACTGCTTGTTCTAGGTTTTTGATCATATACACGTTTTATTTTGCAGGTTCGATGCAAGAAGAGAGGTACGTTTCTTTACTGACAGACTCTTATTTTGAACCTTTCTTTACTGACAGACTCTTATTTTGACAGCTAATTTGTTTGAAATGACCTCTGATCCTTTCCTCTCTCTCTTCAGCAGACAAATGATGAAGGTGAGATTAATTTTAGCTCGTCTTATCTACTCCCCTTTGTTTCTTCGATCACCATCAATATGTGAGAAATTCTTTAAACTCCTTTCTCTTTTCCAGTTCCTAAAAACAACACCTTCCCCCTCCACAATAAAAGTCTTCACCCTCGCCCTGGACTCCCGGGTCCCCTTCCACGTCACGGAGACAGGTATAAATGATAAAATCATTATTATGACAATAATCATGCCTGTTTAATCTAGTAAATTGTGGAGTACCTCATGGATCAAAGGTAGGCCCGCTAACATTTCTACAAAATGCAACGTTTTGTCCTGAAGCTTTTTCTCAGCTGTTTCAAGAAATTATCCATTTAAGAAACTAAATCTTTACATCTTTACAAACCAATGTCGGTTTGGCTGTTCGGACGTTTCATTTTTCTCCAGCTCTCCTCACAGGTTCAGGAAAGCCCCTTGAATTTTGTAATATCTGTGAAGAATTTTCTCCAACCATGAAGCAATTGCAAACAAGCAAACATGCTACAGAGTTATATTTAGTGATTTAAAACCTTAATAAAGGTTCACTGGTGAGTCTTTTATATACATTTATTTTTCACCTTTATCGAGTAAAGGAGTTTAAAAGTTGTGTTTATAGGGAGGCATGGCCAAGACAAAACACAATAACAGCAAAAAAATAAATCTAAAACAGAAGAGACAAAAGCACATAATTCAAACATTACATCCAATTAAAACCAGGAGATTACAGTTTCAGTTTTTTTTAACAGGGCCTTAGGTTTTTGGTAGACTGAAAGATAAAGATGTGAAAGTGTAACACATTATTCCAAGTCTATAAAGTCAAGTAGAAAAAAAGGAGGATTGTCCAAGCGGCAAACTCAAAAAATTAAGCCAATGCAGAAGTGCACAAAACTTCAGTTCCTCTAGTGTCCACCAGAGGCCTTCTCCAAAAGTGAGTCAATCTTCAAAATGTATAACTGGCTTTTTTGTGTGTTTTTGAGCAGTTTGCCTCCCAATGTTCCCTCTACAGCGTCGCTGCCTCAAAAGCTTCACCCTGGTAAGAAGAACACAAACAATCAATTCAGCATTTTGTTAAACTATTTTATTCAGATTGATGAACAACAGATGTAGAGCTCTGGTTTAAATTCTTCTATAAACTTGTCTGTTTCTTTTCACACCGCTGATTTACATTTTTAATTTTTTTTGTGTCACTGGCAAATATATGTTTTATTTGTATTTAAGTGACCCTGATAAAAGATTCAACTACATCAAACTAAGTTAAAATTTCAAAGTGTTGGTAGACTGAAGAGTAGAATTATGTTTTTGTTTTTCTTGTGCTGACTCTCTCAGTATAACACCTAAAAAGCAAGACTCAGGAAGTACTGTACTGATATTTGTGTGTGTGTGTGTGTGTGTGTGTGTGTGTGTGTGTGTGTGTGTGTGTGTGTGTGTGTGTGTGTGCATGCATGCACTGTGTATTGCAGCGATTGGAGAGCCGAGAGGGAGCTTCTTAGGATCAGACAGACAGTCTTTTCGTCCTCCTCCGACCACATCAACGAGATCTCAGGTAACCACATGGAGAGATTTCTTTG